TAAGTGAAGACGGGTAGCAGCGGATCACTGGTAAGATGTCAAACCATTCTAAAAAGTTTTACTCCTTACATTGGAGGGTGCCAGGGGTCTCTTGGCACCATAACCACGACAGTGCATTGTAGTGGTTATGGTGGCTGGACTATTACTTTAACACTGTGCCGTGCTCCTTGTGATGTCAGTGTAAGAGCCATGTCGCTGTGGTGCTCACACGTGGGGGGCCCAGTACAGTCTCCATGGTCACCCTGTCCAAAGAGTTGTCCTATTGAGGCTTGACATTGTGTATGATAAGCTAAGACCTGTATGCGGTCACAATGCTTCAGAAAGCCATTTTATCACGATTCCAAAACACTCTTTGTGATCTAGTTTTGCTGCTAGAGGTCGTTTAAATGGTGGCAGTAAGTTCTACAAGCAAATATATTTCTTACATACCACATGCTTTAGCATTCATCTCACCCATTCTTTGCGGCTTCTGAAGGATGATTTCACATCACTATAACACCAACTCCAGGAGGACACGATGTAAAATGCCGACTTGCTGGGACGGTGACTGGCATGATGCCACTGGCATCCACTGGTGGTGCCACTTTAAAGTCACTAATTGCTACAGTCCAAGCCTTTCTATTGCCACTGCTTATCCACATAGAATACATGATATGCGTGATATTATATATCTGTCAGTAATGTATGTGCCAGAAATAACCAAACTTTTCATTTATCAGAAGACAAGTCACATACATTAGGCCACGTAGTGTTTATTACTGTAATGTTTCTCAAAAAAAGGGATGTATAGTATTCTTCTTAACTACTGATAGTAATATATGAGGCAATATGTGACAAAAGGGTGGGGTGCAAATGTCAAAGTTTTATCATCAATATACCAAATTATTATTATTATTTTTTTCTTCTTCTTTTTTTTTAACTCAAGCAAACGGCACCATTAATTTTATTACATGTTACAATAAATGAGTGTTAGTACACAACTGCTTACAAATAAACTTAATTAATTTTTTAGATACAGGATTGAGGTAGAAAAGAGCAAACGCAAAACATTGGATTCTACAACACAAAAGCAAAATAGAGCCCTAAAGAGACAATTAAAGTAACACACCAAGCACCACAACCACAACGGCGCATGGCAGTGGCCACGGTGCCAGGACTGTCGTAGCAACCTCCCACTGTAAGGAGCCAAACCACGTGGTATACCACCTTTTTACACCAACAAATGTACGTTTATAAATTTGTATATTGCTAAACAGCGATCACGGCCGGCAAAGCTTTACATTAGTGTAGAAGGTTTTTAGATTGTAAGCTCCTTTGAGCATGGCCATCTTCACCTACAGTTCCAGTATGCCATGTTTTGTAAGAATTTAGTGTTTGTCTTGTTTATCTATATACAGCGCTGTGGAATATGTTGGCACTATATATAAAATTGTAATTGTACAGAAAATCTGATATATATGTACGAGACAACAACTGCAATAAAGTAAAATAGGCCCATAATCATCGAGGTATGAAAGGTTTATTCAGACAGAGATATTTTCACTTCACGTCCCATCATTTCCCATATTTCTTTTCACTTCTTCCCTGCGTATCGCCTGCTATGTTTATATGTTTGTTGTAAATCTAGTATTGAATAAAATACTGGTTTACATTTTTATTTCAGAGTCGTATTCTTGGCGAGGTTCCCTGTATTTGCTTATTGACTCCTTGCAGCAGAAGATTAACATCCTGAGTTGTTAAACTGTAGGCGTTTATTTGTAGTGATGTCCCGAACGGTTTGCGAACGGTTCACCACGAACGGTTCACCGCGGACTCATCATTGAGTAAACTTTGACCCTGTACCTCACAGTCAGCAGACACATTTCAGCCAATCAGCAGCAGACCCTCCCTCCCAGACCCTCCCACCGCCTTCAGAGAAACTGCTATGTTTTCAGCTGCAGGGTTAATACAAGACCCAGGGTTAAAACAAGACCCAGACCACTTAATTGAGCTGAAGTAGTCTGGGTGCCTATAGTGGTCCTTTAAGTTTGATAGTCGCTTCAAATTCACTTTGAATTCTCAAGAACGGTATAAATGCATTATAAATTTATTTTGTTGAATCGAGAGTCTCTTGCCCAGTTATCCAACCACCATCCCTGAATTTTACAAATCCTACACTTGGGAAATGTTTACTTTCCATGTAGGATTTATTCAACATTACATTAACTTGTAATGAAATAGATGTAGTGAAATCACATTGCAAGATTTCATCTAAATCAACCAACCTGTGGTTATCTCTTGGTTCAAAGACTTTTCTAAATTCGCTACAGCTACTTATATTGCACAACATGGTTTTCAGTTTAATATAATTGACAAGTTTGATCACTACGCTACTAATTGTGGCAAATTAAAATTTGAATGATGCATTTTTGATTAAAATAGTTTGTGATTATGGCTGAATTGAGGCATTTTTCCAAATCAGCCGTTGTTACCTAAATGTTTCCATTCAGTTTCGAATTTACAAAATATTGGCCCTTAGTAAATAGCTCTGTTGATGTTTCGTGTATATACCCCTTTTTGGTTTCTGGCAGCATTGTTAATGGTATTAGCCCACCCTTCCAGGGTATCCCGTATAGGGCAATTCCAATGTCAACTACCAACCCTCCCTGACTTAATACCCAGTTTTCTCCTGACCCACATAATGCTGCGGTCTACTTTTAATGTACTTTACCTCCCGCATTTTAATTGTCTTGGCTCATGACACTTAGAAGGAGGGGGGGGGCAACTTTTGGAGATAGATATATATTTTAAATTGGACATTCTTTTTAAGGTTTTAACATGGTGTGTATGCGGTTTTCAGTATGTAGAAACTGTCGTAATGTCAGTTCAGTGGTTCCGAAGGGGCCAGAATTTTTGGACCATTCAATCACGCAGTCAAATCTTCCTGTACCGCAATGCGCAGAGCCTCTAAGTGCAAGGCATGCAAACACACTCGGATTTATTCTCTAAAATCCGCAAAAATTGCTTTAATTATCTGAATTAGAAATTTTCATATTCACATAGTCCGGTCCTACGGAATCTGAAAGAGCACATCTCATTTGGTACAATCTGCTTTATAATCAGTAATTATAACATGCAAATGCCACATAAAAGACAGGTTTTGCATAAATTTGATTGCTTTTCTGCAGGTGAATCTGCAATAATTGTGCATTGTCAGTGCAAGCGATCGAAGGGCAAATAGTTTTAAAAAAAATTAGGGGGCACAAAGTCCAGGTAACAAGTGATAGGGGGGCGCAGAGAGATGCATTAACTTGTCTCTCCGCAAGTTAAAAGGGTAGTCCAGACGTGGACCCTAGAGGGGTATCAGCAACACCTTGCATGAAGCCCAAAGAAGGCCAAAATGATCGTCTGGGGCTGCTGTATCCTTCATGTAGAGGGAACTTGCCGGCATTTTGGTTCTGGACTGCCCTAGTGGTGGGACTGGTATGAGATGCTTCGGAATATGTACCCAGGACATACTTGAAAACGAGAGAAATTTCAATGTATCTTTCCTGGTAAAATATTTTATAAATAAATAAATATTTTATAAATAATATGTTCTCTATGTAATGGCACAAGTGAGCAAAAACTATTTTGAGACCTGAGCGGGGATTTACCGAAGGGCAACTACTGAGTATCTCTAAGCTTTTGTCAGGTCCAGATTGGCCCACTGTCATACCAAGAAATTTCTTGGTTGGCCTATATTAGTTATAGATAAAAAATAATTTACCTTGTTTAACCAATCAACTTCAAAGATGAAAAATGAAGTATGAGAGGTAAATACAACGGCAAATGGTCAGGTGGTGGTACCAGCTCCACCAAGGGCTTGTACCCTGATAGATTAATAAACTGAAAAATAGAAATGACCTCCAAGGGTAAGGAGATCTAAAGCTGGCAAAAAAAGTAAATAGACAACGGTAGTAGAATGATACCTAAGGACTCTTTATAGTTCGCTCCCCCTTTATGGCCAAAAATGGAACTTAAATTTACCTTTATTGATATTGCCATTGGTAAATTTAAGTACCATTTTTGGCCATTAAGGGGGAGCGAAGTTAGTGTTCCTTTGTTACTTAGTAAGGATCCAATAAAGACATATGTCAATAATTTTACTTTGTTCCATAAGGGCACTAGTTAATACAATCAAACGTTGTCTATGTTCCCCCACTGATAAATATACCATAACTATAAAGAGTCCTTAGGTATCTACCGTTGTCTATTTACTTTTTTGCCAGCTTTAGATCTCCTTACCCTTGGAGGTAATTTCTATTTTTCAGTTTATTGGCCTATATTACCTGTGGCAGGCACAGATAGTCGCACCTCGTGATCCACAGCGCTAAGGCCACCAGGACAGGCAACGTCGGATCCTGGCGGCTGAGACTCTGTGAATGGCTGTATATTGAGGCTAATTCTATGTGGAATTCGGTCAACCAACTTTTAAACGAAAGGAATGGTATTTTACCATTCAAATTCAGTCAATATTTGGAATTCGGTTGCATGTTTTAAAAGTTGGTCTGGTTTGTTTCTTTATTAGTTATTATTTATGTATATTATTTAGTATTTAATTTAATGGCTGTCACCTAACCATCAGTTATCTTTTTGTTGGTGCATAGACAGAATCATTCAATAAATGTACCAGCTCATCCATTGTTCATTTCAGTTGTTACGTGATTCGGTCAAATGGTGATTCAGAGTTATGGAATTCAGACAACCCGCTAATTGGCCAAAATTTGGTCAAATCACAATTCTTTTTAAACTGAATGCACAAGTCTAAAAAAAAGCCAAATCTTAATGTAGTTGTATTGGTGCAAAGATGCTAAACACTAGAAAGGTTTATTCTTTAGGGCCATACATTTTTGAAGGTCTTCCCATTCTGTATCACTAGTACACATCCAATGCTTATCATAGAGGAGCACTGGATTGGTGGAGGAGCAATTGGGTTGGACAAAAGTAATCAGAAATGGTGACTTCATCAGAGGCGGGGAATGTCCTGGTGGTTATTTGCAGGTAAAAGTTATATGTATTTTAACTTTTTTTTCCTATTTTATATCAAGGTGGCAGTCGTGTAAAAGGAAAAAGCATCACTCTAACGCTTGAAATAGCTTTATTTTTAATGTTAGGGTCTTCCTTTAATAACCTAAATAATTTTCTTTATCAATTAATTAAGCAGTGGACAATTTTGTCTAATTATCAGTGTATGTGAGTGTTCAGTTTAGTATTTCCATCACTCGGTTGCTGATTTCAAGTGTTGTTACAACCAGACTAGTTGGAATCAGGTCTACATTAAATCTAAATTGGAGGCTATATCTCAAAATCCAGAAATTGATAGAACTTGAAAACAAAGTCCAGTTTTGTAGTTTGAATGTCCCCGAGAGGTTTGCGAACTACATGATGCTCAGTGAGTGTTTTAGGACCTTTCTGTTCCATTATGTGATAACAGCATAGACCAGTGCTGTAAAAGCAAAGAATGACCCCTGTTAACGCGGTGCGTCGTGGTCCACCAAGGTAGCAGACCCTATTGGCCAGCCATCAAGCTCTAGAATCCTGATCTCATAATTCAGTGGCATATTTTGCTTTCCCTAGACAGTCCCTTAAATGCACCCCTGGGAGCCACAAGAAAGCCAAGACAAACTAACATCAATGTGAACTGGGCATTTAATACATTTTTTTTACTTCTTAAATGAAACAGCTCTTGGTCCCTGTCCCTAAAGCCCTGGCACCAGCTAATTATCAGTCTCCCTCAACAAACTTTGTGTGCACATAATAAGACTACAACTCCCATGATGCTTTGCCACATTAGTCTTCCAAAGCATTATAAAGCTGTCTACCACAGCTGGATATATACATTATGACCATCCCTGTCCTATAGATTCTGCAATATCTGTTCATTTATACTAGCCATGCCTCTGGCTGTAAAGAGAGGGCACTTTATGGTCAAACCATACCAACTTTCCTATCTTAGTATGGTCCATTTCCAGGTGCCACCCTGCCCCAGCATATCACTGTCCTCCTGTGTCACACAGCATGTCACTGTCCCCCTGTGTCACTGTCTCCCTGCATTAAACTGCTACTCCCAACACTGTAAGCATGTCTCACCTACACAGCTGGGGTGTGGCCACTTAGTTCTGCATGCCCTAAACTCCTCCAAGCTCCTGGGCTGAAGGGGTTAAATTCCTTGGGAGCAAGCATCCCTTTTTTTGCCTTAAGGCTGTGCAGAAATTCAGGCTTCTGAGAAAATGAAGGCTGACCTCATCCCACAGCTAAAGGGGGGGCGGGGTTCCCAACAAAACTACAGGCTGCCATAAACTCCCCCCTCTTCTTAACTTTGCTATTTTACCAATTAAGGCTTTCTCAATCTCAGAGAGAGAGAGTAAAGATCAAGGGGGTGTCATTCCATTGACAGGGCAATTGGGAGGCATTCCCCCCTGTACAGAGCTGAGCAGAGCAGCACACACAGCACACAGCACTGTCTGCCTGGCTTTACAAGGAACTTGCTGAAGGAAAGGTAAGTCTTAGATCATCTTGTCATGCCTGCATGTTCTCCCACAGCCCAGGCTCTAGCAGGGACTTGCTGTAAATCCCAGCAGGCTGTGCTGGATACAGTATCTCTTTACTCTGTGTTCTGGAGAGCATATAGAACTTGGGTGATCATCATTCTTCTACAACTGTAAGAGGGATATACAATGTATCCTGTACTGTATCATGTACTCTCTGTGAGCCAATGCAATGAGATGATCATTATATAGAAACAGCTGTCACTCTGATCACTGTGTAGAACATAGAGCTACTGTTAGATTATTCTTAATCTTAAAGGTATTAATAATCAGATCTCTTTGTGTTCTCAGTCACTGTACTAGGAGTATATCACTGCCCCCTGTGTATTCAGTGCTGTGCTGAGTGGACAGTATACTCAGTGTGTTTGATTTGTTTCCATTGTCAAAGTTTTGCAGAGGAAGAATTAAGTATTGAAGAGAGAGCACGGCGATGTGATTCAGTTACCCCATTGCTAAATGCCATACAGCAGACACACCCATCTGTAATTGTATGGTTAGGATATTGTGATGAAGTCGGGTGACCCGCAGAGCTGTGTGACAATGGTGACAGTGGCCCTGCAGGGCTGTGTGACAGAGACAGGGATGGACGTGTCATTGTCAGCTCCTTAATGCTGGACAGTTACCTGGATCAGGGTAGAGTACGTTCTGTGTGTGTAGTGTGTGTGTGTGTGTGTGTTATTGGATGTGTATAATGTGAATGTGTGGTTACAATATGTGTGCAGTGAGTGTATGTAATTATTGGGTGTGTGTAGTGGGTGTGTGAAGTTATTGTATGTGTGTGTGTAGAGTGTGTAGTTATTTTGTGTGTGTGTAGTGTAGTGTAAGTGTAGTTATTGGGCGTCTGTAGTATGAGTGTGTGTAGTTATTGGGCGTGTATAATGTGAGTGTGTGGTTACAGTATGTGTGCAGTGAGTGTGTGTGTTTATTGGGCGTGTAGTGTGTGGTTACACTATGTGAGTAGAGTGTGTGTGCGGTGAGTGTGGTTTCAGTGTGGGTAGTGACTTCGTGTGGTTACAGTGTATGTAATGTATGTACAATATATGTAATGTATGTACAATGTATGTACAATGTAACACAATGTATGTAATGTAACACAATGTATGTAATGTAACACAATGTATGTGCAATGTTAAACAATGTATGTAATGTATGTACAATGTGTGTAATGTATGTACAATTTAACATATGTCCTTTGTACAATGTTGCAATCATTGTGTTACCATGTATGTAATGTAAGTGATGAATGTGTGTTGTATAGAGTGTGCAGTCACGGTGTGTGTGGTTTTAGTGTGCACAGAGTGTGTGTGTATATAAAGCTGTTAATTTGCTATTTAGCGCTTCTGGCGCAATCTGATTCACTATCTGCAGCGCTGCTGTAATCTGCTATCAGAGACTGCTATCACCTCATAGAAATCAGTTAGAAATTAAATACCTTGTGGAATTATGTTACATCATGTTACAGTGAAGCTGATCTCTGCAGATTGCCATTTAAAGCAGCACAGAACAACCAGTTCTCACATTGTTTATATAATGCATCATAGATAGGAATCAGCCACAGCCTAGAATGTCCCTTTAATCCCTGTCACCTGGCATTCTGTACTGTAAAAAGGGATTTTTAACAAGCTAAACTTTAACTTTCTGCCTGTAATGCTAAGCTGATTAAAAATTATGATCAACTAACCAAGACAATGCAGGTGAGATTAAAATATAAATCCCAGTATGTTCAGCTGTCTCTCTGGCTGAGCATGATGGGATATGTAGTTCCCATATACCTGCAGTGCCAATAATATCCATCCCAGAGCTTGTTCCATTCCCCATCCTCTCCATCACCTGGTAGATGGCAGTGTATGGTTGTCAAACTTTGGAGCCCTAGGCAGACTTAGCATTCAGCTGTCTGTTGGCTGCACTGGATTCTAACACTGACACTTGCTTATTAAGGACAGGAAAACATGACTGTATTTATCAAAGTGAAATAGCTGTATTGTGTGGGTGTGTTCAGCCTGTCCCCCAAGCCAGTGACATTTCCTTTTATAAACAAAATCTACAAATAAAATGTCTGCTGATTGAATATATAAACAGTGTATACATCACAAGCCTTTAAGTGACTTCTACAAAACTACTAAAGACAAACAGAAAGATTGTACATTTATAAAAAAATAAAAAAAAATAGAATGGAAGAACTTTTTTTTAAAAGTTCTGATTTTTCTTTTTTTTGTAAAAAATATAAAATAAAAAAATCAGTAATTTTTTATGGCTTTCTCATGCATTTTTTAAATCTCACTAGCTCAATGATGGCCACAATTGGCAGACACCCCAGATATCTGTGATTCATATTCCCCAATTCCCATGAATACCAGGCAGCCTGAACACTAAGCATCATGGAAAATGTGTTTAACAATTGCTATTAATGTCAGTGAACCTTCTTCTGGCCATGAGAGGGTAATGGGAAATTGAATGGTATGCAGTTTAACCTCTTCACTATCAGCTTTGGACTTGCAAACAGTTCCACTAAAAGCATGCATTACACTTCCCTCTGGCGTTGAAGGGAATTACAGAATTGTGTTGTTTTGGGAAGAACTCTATGAGGCATATGGCCTTATCACACAGGAAACATAACTCTGAGAACTAATGGGGGCTCCATTAGACGTGAGTGTAAATAAATGCAATCCATGATTCACCATAGCCTCTATGTGGCTATGCCTTGAGGACAAGTTGTGTCATTTGTGTGTTCATTTTGTGGCCAGGAGCCAGTATTTTCACATACAATGCCTCATTCAACTCTATCACATTTGGGTTCTTTGCAAATCTTACTCATTGGCTCTGTATCACATATTTAAGTCATGATCCTTGTTCACACTAAGGATTATGGGGAATGTAGTTTACAAAACATGAGCCATTAATTGAGCCACCAGATCTGTGAATGTTTACTGGAAAAATATCAATTCAATATGTTATAGAAAGTACAAGAAATGTTGTGCTGCAGTTTGGAGAATTTATATTCTGCAGGAAATGTATCAACTAATCAATAAGGGAATCCCATTAGAGATAATTATTGATTGATTGATTTCCTTCTCTACATACTACAGAATGTTAGTTTTTGATTTCTTTTTTATTAAACAATGCTTTATTACAAACTTAACAATATTGTACCCTGGCACTCAGATGCAGCAATTCTGTACTGACAGCACACTGAAGTAATGTGTTCAGGAATACAGAATGGATTTAGTAATTCTTGTTGTTCCACAGCTGCCTCCCTATATAGGGGATCTGTCCTTCTTTGTAACTTACATTACTGAATATAACGTTATAATTCTACGAACCTAGAACTCGTGTTAACCTTTTTTTCCCATGAGATACTCCGTTTTCTTCTAAATGTATTTCAGATATGTAGCAAGTGATATCACAATCCAGTTCAGTCAAGGCACAGCCAAGGCATACAAACCAAATGAGCAGGAGGAATAGAAACATTGTTTCATTTCACCTCTTCTCTGTGCTCTCTCTGTGCTGACTGCTAGGTGCAAAGGGCAGAGCTTGTAAACATGACTGGCAGGGAGCTAAGATGGAGGCGCCCAATTGCAGAATACGGATGTGTAGATTTCTACATTTAATTCTATTTTCCACACTCAATAAGTACATATTTAAATACAGAGGTTAAAAAAACAAAACAAATTATTAAAAACTTGGTAAGGGGCAAACTTCCTTTAAGACGAGGAGTATGAATTGGCAATGCAATGTTAGTCTCGGAATTAGGTGTACAATATTTACCTTCACTCAAATAACCAATTTGCATGTTGCAAATAGACCAATTACTCATGTATAGGTGTATTTGGTTCACATTTGTATACAGTTCTTTGATGTTAGTTCTTGGTTGTATAGAATTGTAATCTAAGTGATACTAATGATTTCATCCTTTAGCAAAATGTGTTATAAAAAAACTACATGAATGATCACAGCTAGGGAGGGAACATGGCTCACAGTACTTCAATGTTTATATTTTTTGTTTATATATAGCAGACAATCCAGTTATATATATTACATATAATGATGGGCTGGGTACTTTTTTGAGGAAATAACAATGAATTTTAGGAACACGCTAAGGTTAAAAATAAATATATTATAGCTGTTAAACTCACCTGTAATGTAGTGCAGAGACAGTCTCCGTTTGACCTCCACTCTGCCCATGGTGAGATCAGTTTAACAGGTGATCTTGGTCCAATTCAGTGCCTGGGGAACTATGGCGCATGCGCAGCAATCATCCGTCTCTGTTATTCAGATGGTTCTCATAAAGAAGCATAGAATCCAGTGTTTGACCCTGAGAAGCATTCACTATGGAATCATCATGCTTTGAATCATGAAGCTGAATGTGAGGACCTTCAATTTTTGAAGGTCTTCAATGAGGGAGAGTCTCTAGTGGCAGACACGAGAGGCGTGTTTATTGCCAAAGGTAATCATTGCAGTTTCCCTGAAATGGCTCTACTTTACATTGTCATACTGGAAGTTTTTGGTGGTTACAGTGTTCTTTGAGAATAGGGAGCCGTTGCTCAATCAAAATAAAACATGTCTCATAAAAGAGTTGCAGAAGTCAGAGAACAATCCCGTCACTATTCCTTGGATGAGAGCATGAGCTGACCGCACAGAACTGACATTAGCCAACTCTTGTTCTGAGTTCGCTAACGACACCCCAGTGACTCTGCTGAAGGAGGTGGTACACCTACAGCAGAAAAAGGTTAGACTCATACAGACTCCAAGCACCATAACCACTTCAAATCACTGAAGTGGCCATGGTGCTTGGAATAACACTTTAATGTGTCCTGTTATTTCCTGGTTTGGTTAACTAAGTGGAGCTAAACTCAAGAGGCAGCAATTGCCCAGAGCACCTGCCTTGCAAAGACTTCTCATTGAGCTACATTGGAAGTCTGTGATTGGACAGCCACAGAAAGTCTGGGCGGAGTTAGAAGGGGAGGGCTTGCAAAGGCAGCAGACAAGAAAACTGCATGTTTTGCAAGCTGTTTTAGATATACCACTAATGAAAAATTGCATAATTAAATACATACACATTTTCATTTGGTGTATATATACCAAACAGTGTATTTTAAAAAAAATATATATTGTCAGTGGAGTGTCCCTTTAAGACATGGCAAAATTTGACAAAGAGCTCAATGTCAAAACAGGTCCTAATAGGGAGGGGGGAAAAAGGTTATGGAATATCTTGTATTGCAGTGTTACATTAACCTGCACCGAGATACTCGCTCCTACTGTTAAATACTGGTTTCCATAACAACCGGTATAGTCTCACCTTCACTATTTTAGTCTAAACTTTGCAATTCGACTTTCGATTCACTACAGTTTAAAATGTTTAGTGAATACATTGCTAAAATTCTACAACTTTGTTTAAAAAAAACAACTGCCTAGCAACCATCGCATGGAAGCTTTAAATAGTTTTTTCTTCTCCTCTGGTTTCAGAGAACAGATTTCACCATCCTTGTTCCTCCCGCAAATTCCATGTTCTGGCTGCACCCTGCCCTGACCTCTTGCGCGTTCAGTCAAAGTGATGAGGTCAGCATTTTTTCCAGCAGGAAATGTAGTTGGCACTCATATTTTTCAGCAATTATCTTGACGCTGAGTATCATACACAGTCTGCATGCTATTAGCTTTTAAAGAGTATTTGTGTGGGAGGTTTTTTCTTGTCTTTTTGGAATTTTTGGAAAATTTAGACCGTTTTATTGACATGTACAAAGTGATCTCCTCTTAATCTGTCCGTATTGAACATTGGGATCTGCTTGGCTTGAATATTGGACATGAAACAAACAGACAAAAAAAATGTGTTTTGAAATGATTCTATATATTTTTGCTTATTGGACACATTTTGTTATTTATTCTGTGAGTCTCAGTAAAAACTTAATTTTAATAGACATAACATCTAGGCCATGACGTCACCTATCTAGGCCATGACGTCACCTAAAATCTCTCAGAATAATCTGCTTCTTGGTCACACCTCAAGCCTCATTGCCTAAAATGTAATTGTCTATCTTTGGCCATTCGAAACATTGGTAGGTGTCCCTCAATGCTTCGGTACCCAACTTAATCTCGCAGTAGTCTGAGTGCCAGGCCCCTTGTCTTTTTAACTCTGCAACTGAAAACACTGGCCTTCTGCAGGACAGCCGCTAGAGGCGCTTCCACAGAAATAGCAGAGTTAAACCTGGTTGCTTCTTTCAGATGGTCTCATAGAGAGACCATCTAATTGATGCAGTGTGGCATTTTTTTTGTAATATGGGAAAACATTGGTTTGGCCCATCCATCTAGTTTGGGGTCACCAAAAAAAAAATGCCAACATATTTTCTCATATTTTTTCATATTTATTCAGAATAAGGGTGTAGACAAACACAGTGATATCATGGAGGTTAGGTTATAGCACGTCAATCGTTCTATAGCACGTTTACAAAACCTTTTTTTTTTTTTTTTATCCACTAACCCTACACACTTTTAATCAAAAGTAATTTCTAGTCTAAAATATTACACGTTGTGGTATAGTGGAAGATGTACATTAAAGGACCACTAAAGCACGATAACCACTGCATAGTTTTGTAGTGGTTATGGTGCCATGAGTGTCCTGGGGTTATACCAATGTCAATCCACTTTAGTTGCTGCCCCTGCATCTGGTTTTCTCCCAGAGGAGAATTCAAATTGCACAATTAGATACTTATTTTTCCTCCAAGAAATGTATGTTGATGCAGCCTCAAATGTCTTTTGTTTTACCTTGCAAAATAGCGTCCATGTCCAACTGAGTTATTCACTAAACGGCAAATTGTTTAAAAATATATTTAAATTGTTTAAAAAGTAAAAATTTCAAAGTTCAAGCCGAAATAACCAGACAAAAAAAAAAAAATCTCCTCTAAGTTAGCTATTGTTTTAGTTTGACTTAAAATTTGAAAATTCACTATGAATCCCGAACAAGTCCCAATATATTGAATAACCCCAATAGTAATTTTATCTATATTTTGTGCTAGGCATAAGGCTGATGGCAAATAGAGCCCTGTGTAGTGCATTTTCACAAGTGTTCTTCCATATTTGTGTCTGAAATTGTAAAACTATTTATTACATTAATGTATCTCATCACTGACTTCGTGCAGTGTGCCTGCATGCCTTTAGTCCTCTTGTAGTGTCTGACATTCAGTATTTAGCACTTTGATGCTCTCCTGCTGTGTGTGACATGTTCCTGTATAATGTGAGTCGGTCCCAGACAGTTGAAATGCATGTGTTTGATGATTTTAGACACTTTGACATGTTGTATATTAGTGTTTAAAATGACCATGCTGTGCTTGACGTGTTCATATACTGAATCTATTTCTTACAAGCTTTTGAAACAGTTGTGGAGTTGCTCACTACAGGGCGGATTCAAAAGTAATGTCAAATTTAACCCCTTAAGGACACATGACATGTGTGGCATGTCACGATTCCCTTTTATTCCAGAAGTTTGGTCCTTAAGGGGTTAAGGCCAAAGTAGAACTGAGTTCTGTTATTTTGGTCTCAAATGTAAAACATTTCAAATGGACAAAGAAGAGACACTTTAATTTTTTCGAGTGAGGGTCTGGCAAGGGGGCAGGGCTGTGCCGAGAAATTTTATGTGACTTACTAAATGTAATTTAGAACAAGAACAACGAAAGAAGAATACTGAACTCAATAAAAAGAGGGGCATTAGGAGAAAAAAGGGAGACCAGGGAATTTGGGCTCAAAATAGGGACTGTCCCTCCTAAATAGGAACACTTGGGAGGTATGGGTCTTTTCAAGTAGGAGAAGCCAGATTGTAATTTAGAGCAAAGCATATCTGGTTCTCAAACTTGACTAGACATGGCACGAACACCTGGCGGCAGCAAGGTTTGGCATCTTACCGCGGGATGACGCCAGGACACTCCTTGCACCATCTCTGCAGTGGTTATAGTCCCTGGAGTTTTTCTTTAAGTCAATAAACGGTGTGTTTCAGGAGACCGTAATTAAGGTGTTGTAACCTCACAACATTCTTTTTCACTATAAACATTTTTAGTGTCAACTCTGGAAACGATGTTTCGTTTCCTATTGTGTTATATTTATTTATGCTCATCCTTGTATCTATGGTAGGCCACTTGGAAATCCAGTCTTACTTGTAATATTACATGATCTGGACATGAACTTGGCGTGTGTGAAACTCTTTGTGTGATGTTTTCTCGCCGCAAAAACAAACGGAGGGAAAGTGAAGGAACAAGAGTGAAAATACTAAATCAAACATTTTTAAAAAATTCTAAATTGTATCAGGATTTTCGGTACAGGTTTTATGTAATAGTAAAAAATACGGAAAATACATAAAATGTGGGGCAAAGTAGTGAAAAAGTGATTTAAGTGAAAAACTAGATTCAGGAATTTCACATTTAGATGGACTGAGTGGATACACATGACTAGTAATATCAAAGTATTATTTACGTGATGAAGACTAGCTACATTTATTGTAGTTTAAAGACACATTACTGGGAGTATTATTGCTGTGGAGCTCTGTTATACACTCAGACACATTACTGGGAGTATTATTGCTGTGGAGCTCTGTTTTACACTCAGACACATTACTGGGAGAATTATTGCTGTGGAGCTCTGTTATACACTCAGACACATTACTGAGAGTATTATTGCCGTGGAGCTCTGTTATACACTCAGTCACATTACTGGGAGTATTATTACTGTGGAGCTCTGTTATACACTCAGACACATTACTGGGAGTATTATTGCTGTGGAGCTCTGTTATACAGTCAGACACATTACTGGGAGTATTATTGCTGTGGAGCTCTGTTATACACTCAGACACTTTAATGGGAGTATTATTGCTGGGGAGCTCCGTTATACACACTGACACATTACTGGGAGTATTATTACTGTGGAGCTCTGTTATACACTCAGACACACCAACAATATGGAGCTCCTAGAAAAGAGGGACATTAGGATTGAAAAGAGGGACAGGGGGATTTAGACTAAAATAAGGACTGTCCCTCCTAAATAAAGACACTTGACAGGTATAGTAATAATCCAACATGTCTTGATTTCTTGTGCGTAGAATTTGATAGCTGCTGAAGGATTTAAATCACATATAATACTATGGATACCAAACCCTGCTATGTAAAACACATGCTGCATGTTTGGAGGATATCCTGCCTCAAATCCCACTGATTCATCTCTGTGTCATCACTGAGACAAGCCTGGTATTTGGAATTCACAATTTTGTAGATTTATTTTTAATGGACAGAGCTTGTGAGCATTGTACACAACGTGTCTATAATGTGGGTTAATTCAGTATATGAGTTGGGCTGCCATGGTGTTAAGTGGTGTATGCTGTTTGTGATGTAAGTGAAGTATTGTTTGAGTGAGGTAAGTGCACTATATAACTACACACACACACTCTTACGAACAGACGCATACACACTAGCTAACAGACACACACATTTACTGACAGAAACACACTCACTTACAAAACATACACTCTCACTGACAAACACACACTCACTAACAGACACACAAAGTAACACACTCAGTAACAGACACACACAGTAACACACACACTCACTGACACGTCATCTTCCGGCTCCGGCATCAGTGCGGTGCGCGAGGGAGCTGGGCAGGGAGCGCTCAGGGGAGAGTGCTCCCTTACGCGCCTGCAGGACCGTCCGCCCTCAAAGTGAAGCCACTGCAAGCCTCTGGGGGCCCTGGAAGAGGCTGGCAAAATGTGACCACACTGCCCTGCATACCTGGTCGCAGGTCGGCCGGGCCCCCTGAAGGCCCAGGCCCGGTCGCAGCCTCGACCCCTGCGACCGTGGTATGTACGCCAGTGATGGGAGTTGTAGTTCTACAACATGGGATCTAAACAGCAATTGTAGTGAGCTGAAAACTAAATTGCCAATTTGTTGGCATTAAAGGGACACTATTGGCACACAAACCAGTTCATCTGATTGAACAATCCCTGTCTTCTTAACCCTGCAATATAAACCATTTTGGAGACACTGCAGTGTTTACATTGCATGGTTAGGACGGCCTCTTTCTGCTGTTTCACAGAGTTTAATTCTGTAAATAAGTCTGTGAAACGTCACTGGACGTCCTTACGCATTGCAAGAGGAGGTAAATCATCTTTAAAATCCCCATAGGAAAGCAGTGAATCAATGATCTAATGCACGCTGTGCTTTCTACGCATGTGCATTAGGATCACCTATTGGCGTGACATCACTGGCGGAGGAGACGGATCGAGCACCAAGCGTTACTTGTGCTGGAAAGAGGTAAGTGTTAAAAGGCTTTTTAAACCTTTATCCACTGGGGGATTTGGGGGGGGGGGCACAGACCCTTTAAGTCCTGATTCTCAAAATTCCTTCACTATATCTAAAGTCACAGCTTGGGTATTGTAGCCTGAATTTCACAATTTATTTTTCAGTTTACTACAAATTTGCTTTTTTGTGAATAAACTCTTGTATGTTGCAGGTGCAGTGTGGTTATGGTCATTATTTGAATGGAATACATGCATATTTCCCAAGTGTCCCAATTTAGGAGGGACAGTCCCTATTTATTGGTCTAAATCAGTGATGGCGAACCTGAGTGGCCAAACCGCAATACAAACCAACTTTTTTTTCTCAAAGTGCCAACACGGCATTTAAATCTGAATATCAAGGTTTAAGTTTAGAAAAAACAACTCCTACAGTTGTCCGTACTAATTAATATAATTTCTTTTAAAAGAAGAACACAACATAGAGTTCAATGATACAAACAGTTTTTTTTATTGAAAAAACATATATTCTAGTAAATGAAAACACACTGGTGTTTGGTGGTGCTTCACCTAACTAAGGACCTATTCCCCCCCTATCCACCGGCAGTTTGCATGCATCTTACATGCTGCTTTGGCACAGTTTACATAATTTCATATTTAAGGTCAAAAGCTATGCTTTCCATTCAACTACTCTGGCCTTAAATTCTAAATTCACTTTGAGTTGGGAGTTGTAGGCCATCAATATATGGGGTGTAGAGATTGAGATCCCTGCTCTATATACCCAATACAATATAATAATCCTGTTATAATGCAATTTAAACTCCTAAATACTCAGAAAGCCAATTAAGGATTGGTGGAACAGTAGGGCACAGACATTTGAAGTGCTCTTGACATTCTTATGATTAACAAAGTTCCCTTTCAGTGTTTGATACAGTGTTGAGTGGCTGACCATGGTGTAGTTTAAGTACTTGGCTAGCTGTTTGCCTCAATGCGTTAGCCAATAAAGGAATTGCAAAGCATCTGTTTATCGTGCCCAAAAGAAGTCTGTTTGTGTGTATGTAGGCTAGTGCAACAGCTCAACGCGAATCAAAAAGATATTTATAACACTATTGGCCTATAAAATACATATAAAAAACTTTTTACAGCCTTTTTCAATAAAATAGGCAACAAAGATACACACTGAATGTTACGTGTGACATTTCTATTCCATATGTCCCAACATTTCAAATGGACAAAGAGGGACACTTTAATTTTAGGGGTGTGAGTGGGAGTGTGGCCATGGGCTGTGGAGCTCTGTTATACACCCAGACAAATTACTGGGAGTATTATTGATGTGGAGCTCTGTTATACACACAGACACATTACTGGGAGTATTATTGCTGTGGAGCTCTGTTATACATTCAGACACATTACTGGGAGTATTATTGCTGTGGAGCTCTGTTATACATTCAGACACATTACTGGGAGTATTATTGCTCTGGAGTGTCTACCTGATCGTCTCTTGCGGTGGTTGAAATGTTGAGATTCATGTCTTTTCACTGCATAACACTGTAAGCACAACACCATAAGTTGCCAAACATCCATCCATCCGTTGATAATCTGCAACTCCCATAATCTTCCTCAGCCAGACTGCACCCATGCAAATTATATCAGTGTCCAGAATCAGTGGATTACTATCTAGTCCAGGCATAGGCAACCTTCGGCACTCCAGATGTTTTGGACTACACCTCCCATGATGCTTTGCCAGCATTATGGGTGTCAGAGCATTATGGGGGATGTAGTCCACAACAGCTGGAGTGCCGAAAGTTGCCTACCCCTGATCTAGTTGCATGTGTAACGTTTCCTGATAAACTGCGGGCCGTTCTCCAGTAATATTGGGGACTCAACCTTTCATTTCTGTGACTTGACTTATCCAACTAGGTTTTTTCGTAATTTTTCTCACCTCTGTATAACGTGTTCTGCTTGACAACAGGGTTATTCAATAACGTGTGAATTTTAAATTTAAGGTCAAAGTAGCCAAAATGGAATCATTCTCTAAATCTGCTGTTTCTGCTACTTTGGCCTTAAATTTTATATTCACTTACAATTCTCTCTTTAGTGAATAACTATGATATTTTTTCTGTGCTTGATACCTTATAAATCTTAGCACAGGGTTGCAGTTCTATTTTACTTTTTATACGTTAGTTTCTTTGTAGGGAAGCCATAATTCCCTATTATAATATATATTCATTGTTTTTAACATTCCCTGGAATTTTTCCGTATCGTTTATAGTTCCCCTTTTATTGAATGTTCTACGTATGGTTTCAAAGAGAATGTGCCAGGGTCCTTCTGGCAACTATTAGCAGACGTCGGGGTGGTTTAAATTCTTACATTCATACCTGGGACATAATAGGTAGCAGGCCTTGTTTCATTTGGAAGTTTAATAACAGATTAAGAGGACATTATGAATCATACTTTTGAAAGAAAAGCACGGACTCCACACAAGTTAATAACAGAAAACAGAGTGCGGGTAAGAAACATGTCAATGTCATTGTGTGCTGTACAATGATACTGAGTTTTGTTACTGGCATACAGAGCGCAGTGTCTTCCTTCCAGAGCAAACAAACACGGTGACTCACAGTCTTATATTCTGTAGCCAAGGAATACCCACAAGAATTCTGTGTTTAGAAAGGAGAGGGATCTTAAAGCACCAGGACTGACATTAATCTGTCCTGCGCGATAAGACACAATGTGAGGGGATGGGGGAGTATAAAGTACTTTATAAAAAAACATTCTAGCAATTTTATTTTATAAAATAAATTTATTTATAAAGCGCCAACCTATTCCACAGCGCTGTACAATTTGAAAAAAGACAGTACAATCTAAATAGACCAATACAACAGGTAGGGGGCCCTGACTGTGAGCGAGATCATGCATAATTGGCACTACACCAAAGTCCCTATGTGACAGGCAAAGCTATAAATACCATATTCCACAATTAGATCTTAATTTTTCAACCAAAATACTTATTTTTATGTGGCCTTAAATCTCTCATGTTTTACTCTGCAAAATAGCAATAGGCTCACAGCAGTGTGTAGTACATCACAGAGCTCCCCAGAAATAAAACTCACAATATTGTGCTGAGTTTTGTGAATGTATCACAGAGCTCCCCAGCAATAGAACTCACAGCATTGTGTTGAGTGTATCACAGAGCTGCACAGCAGTGGAACTCCTAGTAATGTGCAGATATGGTGAGTGTAACACAGAGCTCCAAAGCAATAAAACTCACAGAAATGTGCAGTGTGTTTGCATCACAGAACTCTAAAGCAATAACACATACACAGGCTTCTCAGTTTGTAATCTGTAGCAACACAACTATTTCTACTGAAAGCCTAGAAGTGCTTATTCACACCTTGTATAGTTGTGTGGTTTTATGTTACTCGGTTAACACATCTCGATTGCCATTTGGTTTTGCAAACAACGCAGGCCTAGTGGGAAATAAGCTAATGTTAAGATTACCAAGAAAAACTCTAATTCGAATATTACAAACTCAATTAAACAAAGAATATCTGGAGGAAGCAGCGCATGTTTTGCTTTCTAGCGGAAAGGAAAATAGATATACAGAACACGTGTTCACCTGCAGGGGGACTTCATCTGAAAACGTGACACTTTTGCAAAATGAGGGCATGGGCATAAAATGCAATGGGAGATCATTTTCAGCCCTGTGCAATAGGTCAAGAAATATGGTTTGAAGCCTCACATTGTTCTCTGTCTTTACATACAACTTTACCCCAGGCTGGCTGATCTTTGGCACTCTTGGCGTTATGGATAATGCCCATTTTTTACAGCCAGCCACATTTGGCTAAACGGATGGTTAAACTGTGTGGGCAAACACAAAGCCTCAACAGCTGGGGTACCAAACATGAATCATCACTTCTTCAAAGTTCTTCAAACAAAAACAGATACAAATAAAGCTGATTTTAAGTCAGCCAGGTGAATTAAACTCATGATAACAAACCCATAGGTCTTTGCATAGAGTTTACAATCTAAAGACCTATGGGCCTTGATAATTAGAAGAACGTGGTTACTTTTAATATCCCTAGTGTAGACTGTAGGCTCACTTCAGTCGGACTATTGTCACTCTTGTTCCTGTCTCCCTCCTGTGCCACTAAAGTGTGTTTGTATAATTTACATATGGCAAATAGCCGCATAATATATAAACAAAATATACATAATACTCGAACATATATAGTTTTTAATATGATATATGTCAAGTTCAATATGAAAGAGAGATTGAATCCGCAGCCAGGAGAGATGTCTTTGGAGAGAAAGTTACTAGGAGTATAATACCATGCGTCATGTTTACGAGGGACTTTGGTTAATAGAGAATGGATTGCTACAGATATATATGGATATCTATCCCCGGGATATCTGGAATGCTGTCCACTTTCGCTATTCTACTGCCACACTGTGGTTTAAAGATGTAGTGGGAGACACAGCCTTTAAGATAGGGGTACAATCAGGGGGATTTTTTCAAGTGTTCTATTCTGAAAAGTGATTATAAGATACTGAAATGGGGGGGATGTTGGATGGCAACTCCTGTCACCCCTGACCGGATGGGGTGACAAAAAATGAGAATTGCCCGGTACTGTTCTATGAAGCCGTGTTTACAAGTTGATTTTAAATATCATAAAATACCATAAGAGCCATTTCTAATTTTGGGGTGTTATTCACTAAAACCGTCAGTTGTGGTGAACAGTCTGACAACTGAATTGTAACCTTTGAAGGTCCAAAAAGGTCTGGTTAAAAAAGACGCATGTCATACTGAGTGTTTTAAGAGCACTTTGCACAGAATCATTCGTGCTCTGATTACTGGGGCAGTTCCCTAGTCTTCACAGATGTGGGTCACCAGGGAACTAACCAAGGACCGGAGTCCATTTCCAGACTCTCCTACTGAATTGGGAGGTATCAATCCAAACAATCTGCAGTGTCTATGGTGTTTCGAGTGCCCTTCTAAATGGATCCGTTGATTCTACTGCTCTACATGCTATAACGTCCGATTTCAAGCCTAGAACAGCTTAAACAAAGAGCCGAATAACTTGACTACAGACCAACTGACAGATCTATTTTCCCCATAATATATCTTAAAAAGACCAGACTTTATAACTTATCATATTTCCTACACACAGCAATTTCATGCTGATCTCAAGAGGTACAGCTTGCACCAACTTCTGTTGGAAGACCATATCACGTAACCACAAAACTTCCTGTAAAAATAATTATAAAAAGTCTCCTTTTATTGTTAATGCACTTCAGTCCCCATTTACTCCGTCACATAACTCATTGTTATAGCTGTTCTGTTATATCTTTCAATTAAAATATAACATAGCTGTACAAGAGCTGCACAAACAAACCAAAAACATAAAAAAAAAAAAAAAAGATTATAACAAGCACGTGAACAGCAACAACCTTAAAAGGACAACTTTGAGCACCATAACAATTTATCTCAATGAGGTTGTTATGGTGTCTGGAAGTTCTTGGCGCTGCCTAACCTCTAAGTGTTCTTGATAGTGCAGTTGTCTCGTTACAATTACATGTCTGTTAGTCCACCCATTGTACAGCGCTACAGAATCTAAAGGCGCTATATAAATAATAAAATAATAATAATAGTGCTTATCCCCCTGGCGTTGGTTTGGCACTCACTGCATTGCCCTGTGCATTGCCAAGCACATCTAATGATCCACTGGCTCTACGCTTACTGGGGACAGTACACAAGGGAGTGAAGTCAGGATGGTAGGACAGGTTCTGAAATAGGGACTGTCCAACCAAAACGAGTCTGTTAGGATTCAAATAAATTTAAAGGACCACTATAGTGCCAGGAAAACAAACTCGTTTTCCTGGCACCATAGTGTTAATAGGTCCCCCCCACCCTCAGGGTCCGACTCCCGCCAGGCTCTAGGGGAAGAAGGGGTTAAACGCTTACCTTTATCCCGCGCAGGGCTACCTCGGCGCTGGGGACTGTAGCGAAGCGGCAATATTAAATCCCACGATCTCCGCTGGTAAAAAAGGTAATCCACAGTCAGCGATGAAAAGTAAGGCAATATCCAAATCCCCCAGTAACCGGACGAGACACAGTTCTGGGAGTCAACTGAGGTTTTTATTCACAGCATCCAGTATTTATGCAAGTCCCCATGCAAGGGGTTTCCATACTGACATAACAGGGGTTGTACAGTAGGGGACTACATGGGGGACTTAACATTCTGAGCATTTCTCCCATCAGGCACTGCTGGACGAGAGGGATACTCCCACTGGAATACACCGTTAAGTGGATTATCCCTCCGTGCAGCAGAACCGGCATTTTACATTAAAATGTATAACATTTATAATACTTGAGTGATTTAAACGAATGGACGTTCGGTAGATAGCTGGGGTCTGAGCGCACCTTTCGTGAGAATACCGCTCAGATCCTAGCTAAAACAACCGAACGCCGCACGAAATACACTTTGCCCATGAGTTCGTCTGAAAGTGCCGAACACCGATGGGGAACTGTAATAGTAGAATACCGGAATACCGTCGAGTAGCCTTTTTCAGTTCCACGCGCTCGACGACCAAACCCCGCTGGTAAGACAAAGGATCCAAGATGGCCGACCGCCGCGTGGTTGGTAGCCAAACGACGGCCACCTAGGAAAGCCTCTAATTACCGATTGCAACACTGTTGCAATCGGTTAATGAGCACCACACGTCCCTCTGTGTGTGGGCTATTAGGGGGTAGCTCATTCGGTTCACGAACAGCCTGTAAGGTTGCTGTTCGTGAAACGAAACACATGAATGCTAGTGGCTTTTGGCTGCTAGCATACAAATTCAATGCAAACATACAGTAACACACAGTGTAAATCCAGGTTATACATGAAGTTACAGGGATTAGTACAGACAACCTTTTTATGCACATAGTCCAGAAAATTACAAGTGGCTAGGTTTGCCACAGGGACTCTCCTCTTTCTTCCGACGTCATCGGCTGAATGCGCGGCAAGAGCCGCACGTGCATTCAGTAAGTCCATAGGAAAGCATTTCTCAATGCTTTCCTATGGACGCTGGTGTCTTCTCACTGTGAAAATCACAGTGAGAAGCGCGGAAGCATCTCTAGCGGCTGTCAATGAGACAGCCACTAGAGGCTGGATTAACCCTCAGGGAAACATGTTCTAGATGGACCTGGCACCCAGACCACTTCATTAAGCTGAAGTGGTCTGGGAGCCTATAGTGGTCCTTTAATATTTGAGGCAAAGTTCTACAAGTAAACTATATGCATTCTGCCCTAATTTCTGAAATTCACTTTGAATTTATGACAAATGACCATTTTTAACCCTGTATTTATACAGCGTGAACAAAATCCCTGTGCTTGTAACACCTGGATGGAGAGAGTTAAAAAATGAACCCCTCTGACAGCTAGCTTTGAATATATAAACACTGTCAGTTTGGCTTTTACTGAACCCAGCACTCAACCCAGCACTCAATCCTTAAATTGACTGTCTGGAGAAAAGATGTTTTTACCATAGAAGTACATGTGGACTCAGCTGTGATACAAAAAAAACCCCAGTGAAAATATAACTGTTGTCATCTGGCTCGTATGTACTAAGAAACAAACGCGTCTCCTTAAAAGGTGCTATTTTAACTAGACAAAACAAACAGCTGTCTGGGATGTAAAACAAAGCGAATTTGGCACAGGTGTTATGTTGTTAAATCTACGATAGTTTAACCCTATCAATTCAAAACACAAAATGTCATGATAAGCCCCTTTTTTTGGGTTATATCACTGCCCTTTCCACCCCCTCACATGACAATAGATTAGAATTTATGATTCCCTCCAAAAAGATGAACTGACAAATCTCCTCTTGACGGTTGATGGGAACAGGCTTCACCTCGCGCAGTCAAGGAATTATTGCACATGCGCAAGATTTAACATGTAAGTCCCGGAATGTTATCGGATGTTCCGTAAAACTCTTTTTGTGCTCTTTCAAGTTCAATATTCAATATTAATGTTTAAATAATGGCAACGATGCAAGCATCCAGCAATCTTTGACTCAGATCCCTTCGTTGAGATTAAGTGGTATGGGTGCCTAAAGTGATTCTTTAATCTGTAGTGCAGGGGTCCTCAAACTCCGGCCCCCCAGATGTTCTGAAATACAACTCCAATGATTCTCTAGCTAGCTATGTAATTCAAAGAATCATAGGAGTTGTAGTTCAGCAACGTCTGGGGGGCCGGAGTTTGAGGAACCCTGCTGTAGTAGTTCTGATGCTTAGACTGTCCCTTTAACATACTCCAAGCTCACACTTAACTCCATGGCGCCACCTACTGTTTTCAGAATGTTGAATAAAAAAACTTGTGAGTGCTGTCAGATCAATTTCTCTAAGTATTTAAGCAATGCCAGGCTTGACGCAGCATGAGGTTATAAAAATGATTGTAAAAAGGCAAGTTTACAAACCAAATACTTTCCATTATGTTGCTAAAGATCTAATTCTGACATGAAATATCCTGCTTTTAGAGAATGCAGAACTGATAAATATGAAGATTTTTTTTCCCCATTCTTAAATAAAGGAAAAGGATCCTTTTCTTCCCAGTTCATTTTCCCAGGCCACCCCTCCACTTTCCCCACCATCTCGAGCCCACCTAACACCTCCTTCCCCTCTCCTTCCCAACCCCCAACGCTCCTAGTCTCTGCACCATTGTTTATTTACATCAGGTTGACACTCACTGCATTGGAATGAAATTCCTGTTTCCAGAAGTGGTGATAGAATGGAATTGCCTTCCAGTAGAAGTGGTAAAAGTTTATACAGTGCTGTAATTCGAGAATGCAGTGGGTAGGCCTCAGGCAATCTGTAAAGGAAATTAGGTCAACTGTTACATTGGTACATTTTAGACAGTGTTACATGAGTTACATATTTGACAGGCTTCATGCGCCTTGGCAGCCGTCATAAACTTTTCCACTACCTCATATTAGTAGCTTGCGTTTTCGCCTAGACCTAAGACGGCCCTTTGGGGGGTGTTGACATTAAGCCATGACATTATTTTTGTCATTAATTTAACTTTTTTTGAAACTCCCATTTATGCTGCCCCCATCTGCATAAATTAGCTTCAAATTCCTTTTATTAATTTTTTTCCCCCGATTGAGCACGGACCTAGCTAAGCATCATGAAGGCAACAGTTTATAAATACCTGGCGTACTAACTTTTGGCATATTTTTTGGATGTACTATTACAAGCTTCCCCAAACTCCGGCCCTCCAGCTGTTGCTGAACTACAACTCTCATGATTCTCAGCCTATCTATTTCATTCATAGAATCATGGGAGTTGTAGTTCATCAACATCTGGAGGGCTGGAGTTTGGGTAAGCCTGTAATAGTTGCATCCCCCTGTTTTATTTTGTTATTATATAATGTATATTTCATTGTACCTATTGTACAATTTGTTACCATTGTAAAAAAACAAAAACCTTTTACTTAATAATAAAATATATTTGAAACAAAATTTTCTTATGAGATTCAGGCAATCTAGACCAGTGGTGCCCAAAAGGTAGAACCCCAGATGTTTTAAAACTACAGCTTCTGTGATGCTTTGCCATTCTAAAGGCATTCCAGAGGCATGCAAAGCATCAAGGGAGTTGTAGTTCTCCAACATTTGGAGATCTACCTTTTGGGCACCCCTGACCTAGACTGTCTGAGCATCACGCGGACAGGAACTCCCAAACATGAGAACATAAAACCATATTTTATGTTAAATGTAAAGCTATGTTTTATAACTTTAATCTTGCCACACCATTTTTTCTTTTTTAAATTACTATTCACTGCAAACATGCACAACAAATAAAATGTTGCATTTTTTTAAAATTTTTAAAGACCCTATCAATTCAGCGATTACTTATAATGATTTGCATTGCAATATAGTAGCAAGCGCAAGGTAATACAATGCAAATAAGCATTATGGGTAATTTGTTAAATGAATATCTATAAGCCAAGGTTTAAGTGCTGTATACAGCGGAGAAAGGGAGGAGAAATTAGTGATGGGGAGATTGTGGTAAGTATTCGCTTGTAGGTTTGTGTAACTTCAGTGTGGGGGTATAACGGAAGAACTGAATGTATCACAGCGGGTGTAACCACTAAGTGCGGAAGCAGTCACAAACCTAGCCATCTAGCATACAGTAAGATTATATTAAATAAAGTTCCACTTTCTATTAAAAGAAATATACAGTTTCAGTGCCCCTCCCTTCCTGCTTTCTAATGATATATGAATAATACTCTATTTTGCAATCAAAACTGGAAAAGTACTGCTATTAATGCACAAATCCTAGTTTTTTTTAGGGTAAATTACACATTTTTACTAGCATTCAAAGTGATACATTTTAGGGTTTTTCACTAAACTCTGACCGAGTTATTTCCTAAAGCGAGAATTGTCAGCAATTCAATGTGAAACTTAAGACCAAAGTAGACGAATTGGAAGCATAGCGGATTTGGAGAATTATTCACGTTTGATTAGTGTGATCTCAAGCTTGAAATCAACGTTGTATTCCCAAACGTCGCAAATAAAATACAGCCTTACTGGTGTCAAATTAACATGGATATTCTAAAAACAAATGCTGTTTTAAAGTGACCCCTGACTCAGAAATAGGGCGGGCACGCATTGTTAGAATATTGGCACAGTCTCAATGTAGTCATCATGGGTGATCAACAAGGCAGCTGTAAGTTAGTCAATTTTGAATCCTTTTGCTGAACACCACATTTTGTAGTAATTTGAAAACAAAATTGCCAAATTTAGGCAATAATATCTCATTAGAAAATATTCTCAAGCTTGGCTGTACTAAACGTTTGGCTATTTTAGTCTAAGTTTTCCAGTTTGTCTTTCAACTCAGTTCAGTGTTTAGTGAATAATTGTACAGCGCTACAGAATCTGAAGGCGCTATATAAATAATAAAATAATAATAAAATAATAATAATAAAAAAAGTCGTTCTCTCAATGTTAACCCATTAGGACACATGGCGGAAATATTCCGTCATGATTCCCTTTTATTCCAGAAGTTGTGTCCTTAAAGGGTTTTTAAAATGTCAGTCTTATTTTTGGTTGAAACTGGTGCAGGGACCGAGTTTAGTTAGAGTGCCCTCTATTGACTGCATTGAGAAATGTCAGAAAACGACACAGCTTTATCTTAAAAAGTACACGTCTTATCCTAGTCCTGGGAAGAACGGTACATGTTCTTTTTGCAGTTGCTTTTATTAAAAACATTTTTTTTTTAAGTTTTAATGGCATTCTAAGGCTCCGTTATTTTTATTCCATAATGCAGCATTAGTTATCTGCCTGGTGCATTTAGGGTCTGAGAATATAACCAGGAGAAAAACTGAGGAGAGCCCTTTGTGAAAGAGTATATAATAAGATCTAAAATAGATTTACAGGGTTATTTACCAAAAGGAGAATGAATTCAAAGTGAATTTTAAATTTAAGGTCAAAGTAGTCAAATGGGAAAAATTCTCTAAACCAGCCATGCTTTGAAATTGATTACTCTAGCCTTAAATGTTGAATTATTGCATTTTAGTAAGATGTTTCTGGCTTTCTCACATATCCGTGTGTGTTTAGATTGCGAAGTACACATTTTAAAAAATTGTTTTAGTTTTAGTCTAGTCTAGAATTGTTTTAGTTTAGTTTTAGTCACCTAAATCTCCAGCAGATTAGTTTAGTTTAATTAAAGCCTCTATCTGTCTCTTTTGCCCCTTCCCCAGCCCCTCTGTGTCTCTTTGTGTCCTCCTAGCCCCTCTAGGTGTCTCTCTCCCAAGCCCTGGTCTGTGTCTTTTGCCCCTTCCACAGGCCCTCTGCGCAGTGTTAATTTTGGCGGCAAATTTCAATTTAGTTTTAGTCATAGTCTTCTGACAAAAAAGCCATTTTAGTTTTAGTCATATTTTAGCCATCTGAATTGTTTTAATCTTGTCTAGTTTTATTCGACAAAATGTGACTAAAATTGTTAGTCGACAAAATTAACACTGTAGTCAGAAATTATCATTTTTGCAGGATGCCTTTAAAGGGATTCTCTAGTGGCAGGAAAACAAACCCGTTTTGACATCTACGGGGGACTTGCTATTTAATTATCAGAGATCTGATTAGCTCTAATAAAGAGAATGTAGCCTACAATGAGGAGTCAGGAAACCGTCAATACAATGAAAACTAATTTGCAAATATAAACTTTGATAACAGAAAATAATATGTTTGCCAATACACCTTTATGCCAAAATAAATATTTGGAGAGGAACAATGCAAAGGGCAGTGTGACGGCTCACATCAAGGTTTGGGGGTGATTCTAAGGTAGGCAGCGAGGAGCATTAACTATTACTCAGACCAGATACCCACCATAACAACATTTAAACTGTACTCTGGGGAGTGTAAGCAGAGATATATCTCCTCATTCTCCTACATAGGAATTATCCCTGTATCAACTGTATTGTTAGAATCTCCCTGTATCAAGTCACTTGCTTATTACAAAATGTCCACAAACTGTGATAAAATAATATCAAATAAATGAGATGTATTCTGTAGTAAACAACTTAAAGGACCACTCCACAGACATAAAGCACCTTAGCTTGCTGAAGTGCTTTATATGTGAAGAGTATGTCCTTGTTTTTTCAATTTAGAGAAAGTACAGATTTCAGTAGAAATTGTTTTTGTTTTTTTATAAATGAACCAGGTTACATCCCCCTTGGCTGTCAGTCAGACAAGCGGTCCTTATACTTCCTGCCAGTTTAGCTCAAGAGGCAGCAATTGGCCAGAGCACCTGCCTTGCAAAAATTCCTCATTGAGCTGCATTGGGAAGTCTGTGATTGGACGGCCACAGAAAGTCTGGGCGGGGTTAGAATGGGAGGGCTTGCAAATGCTGCAGACAAGAGATCTACAGCTGTATTTAGGTATATCCGAACAAAAACATACATGTTTAAATGCATGCATGTGTTCATTAGGGCTACATCTACGCAATAGTGATTTTACAGTTTTTCGTTTTAGGGCAGTAAAGTGTCCCTTTAACAGGGACATCACAAGCAGCTCTTGGGTTTTTAAAATATTTAATTGGATCCATCTCTAAAATTGAGCAATGGATTAAATGTATTCACAAACTGAAGAATCCAACACATGTGTAAACACGTTTACTTTTTAATTTAATGTTTTTATTTGCTGCATAGGCAAAGCAATGCAGGAAATATTCCCACACAGGAGTGTCATTATGTATGTCAGCTGAATAACATGATTAACATATGGGCTTTTTATTTTTAAATGATATATGACAGTGATGTAAAATTATTAAAGGGACAGTCTAGGTACTATAACCACTTCATTTTATCCCACTGATGCTTCTGAAGCCCTTCTTCAGTGTTCAAATGTTTGGGTACAGTTTAACACTAAACAGTGGGACAACGCCAGAGGACTCCAGACACTATAACCACTTCATTGAGGGTCGACTCTCACAAATTATATTATGATTTGTGTATCCGTAGGAAGTTCTTTCTTAAGTTTTAAATGTTCTTTTACAAGATTTACCCTGAAGCGTCTTTTGGCCCTGAAACTTGATATTACAAAAAAAATAAAAATATCCATTGTTGATTTTTTTTAAACTCTGTTCTATTGCTTTCGGGAACATGTTTAAAGCTTAGGAGCCACAATCTCCATGTAAAAGAACGAAGGGAAGGCATTTGTAATTAAATCCCTCGGCCACTTCCATTTTAAGGAAATGTAGAACTGAGACGAATTATTACCTTCTGTAAACCATGAATATTTCCTAAGGTTTGTGGCTACAATCTACATTCCCAGTCACATGACTCATCGCCCGTCACTGCGCAGAGGGGCTTTGTAAGGACACAAGAGCCTGGGTTGTTCATCTGCAAGCAAGGGTCACGTCTGGAAACACAGCCTGGAGCTTCAAAGGAGTTTCACATCATGACCTGGATTTTTGGCATTTAAAAAAAAAAAAAAGTATTTTTCTTTTTTAAGAAATAACATCCAGGCAGATAGGAATATAATTCAGGGTAGTTTTAACTATCCAGTGCCTGGACAGAACTGCTCTTTAATCTAGGTTTGTTGGTAATTTACAAGGGACTTCCGAATTTTTGGTGAGTATTTGAATTTGAAGAATTTTTCAAACTGGCTATTTTAAGCTAAAATATTTTAGGCAGCTTTCTGGTCATGGCAATTCCCATTTTACTGAGCTATTCAGTAAAAATAAGAATTGATGGGGATTCAAAAATGAATTTCAAATGTAAGGCCAAAATAGCCAAACTGAACACGGGACTTTACTTGGAGAATTTTTCTAAATCAGCTATTTTGGCCTAACTTGTGAAAATCACTTTGAATTCACGACAAGTTGTGGAGCTTTGCACATTCTAGAGCAGGGGTGTTGTGGACTACATTTGCCCTGATTCTTTGTCACCATTAGGGCTGTGAGAGCATTATGGGAAACGTAGTCCAAAACATCTGGAGTGCCGAATGTCGCCTACTCCTGTTATAAACCAGTATAATCTAGCAAAACTAGAGATTTTCGTTTTTTAGTTTGGCTGTTTGGTCTAAAATTTGCAATTTTCTTTTATGCTCAACATTCCGCTATTTCACAATGGATCTGTCAACTGATGCTGAGCTATAGGACTCTGTCCATAGAGTCTCAGTCCATAGCAACTGGATTGTCTCATGTTGAATATTATTGGTGATACAAATCAGTAATCATGCTTACCAACTTTCTGTGTGTCATAACAATGGCAGTAACAACTACAGTTATTTATATAGCGCCAACATATTCCTCAGCGCTATACAATAGGTAAACAAAACAAACCCAAATTTCTAACAAAACATGATTGTTATCCAATATTTCTGGGCAATATTTTTTTCTATAAAGCACGATAAGGGGGCTGAATGTGGTCAGAAAGCAGGATATTTGGAAGGCAAACTATTGTTTTATTTATTTTTTAATTGAATACGTGACTGCAGTATATACACATATAGACACACAAAGGTCTCGAATATTGTTGAAAAAAAGGTAGATCCACAGACCATGGCTGTTTTAGGTTATGACGCTTACCAGCCGTAAAATGTATTTAATTTCTGCAGAGCTGCAATTCAAAATCTATTTCTGAGTTAAGCACCTAAATTTGTTTTTTCAGCTAACATTCCGTGGCCATTGACATATTTTCACCCAGTCGTTTTGAAGGTAAATGGTGTCCTGTTATAACCAGAGCCCTCTGCGCCCCCTCTCAATATAGTAAAAGGTTCATTAATTGTATTTATCTAAGGCGTTACAGCTGCCAAACATAGTCCATTACAGACATTTAGTAAATAGAATGCTCTGTGATGTTTAAAAGGTAGGTATCAGTTTCAAAGACATTTTTTTATTTAATACTGCTTTGTGAAATTAGATATTTGGTTTTAGTTATTTCGCTTTATGTGCTCGACACTCAAAAACTGCTCGTGAACATGATGCTATAGACCAGAGATATTCAATATTAGAACCGAAACTGCCAAAAATGCAGTAAATGAGAAGCAAAGGCTTGTGGGAGTTGTAGTTTGCTAACCCCTAGGAATGCACCATCCTGTTCAGTGGCATTCACACAACACTAAGTAAGCCAATGGCAATTTGATGACTATATATAAAAACAAACAAAAAAAAAACATTATAGTCACAAATTAAATATAATATGTCTAAGAGACATAAATAATATCAAATAAGGTCTACATGTATTAAAGATGAAGTGGCCATTTAGTTTAAAATACATACCAAATTAATGTAGTCCTTATATATACATTTGCAATTGATATAGCTGTAGGAGATGTTTAAATCACAGCAGACTCTGTATCTCAAGAAAACGGGTTTTATGCCACTGCAAATCTGTTATCTGATTGTTCTTTAGTGGTCGAAACAGGAGATTATATCTACATGTTTCTGATCTGCACCTGGTAGAGGGTGAGGACATACGGAGGTGATGTCATACTTTAAAACTGGTCCTGGCACAATTTTTTCAGCATTGTGTAAAAAAATATTGTATAAAGGTTGTACAAAAAAGTAAATCTGAATGATTATCATCTCATACTTGACAAGAGTCCTGAATCTTTTGCGGGTAGTCCTGATATGGAGATACTCTGCCTCCACTCCAAGACTCCTGTCTCACTTCTGTGGACACCAGCGCATGTTTAAACATCCTTAAATGTACCAAAGTACAGTAAATGTGAATGTGCTTCAGTACCACATCCAGTAGCCAGTCCAAGGGGAAATGTGACAATACGCAAGCTCTTCAGGAGAGCTCTGCTCATGGGATGCCCTGTTTGACCTGTTTGCCTCCTTTACAGCTGGCATTAACACAGAATTTGTATCCAATATATAAAATAAGGGCGTAAACCTCTTATCATAACAATATCACTGAGTTTAATTATACATAAATGTGAGCTGACAAAATCTGTAATAAAGCACTACGCAATATTATATTCTCTATTAATAATGTGAGAGCTACCAAACAAAGCATTAATATTATAACACATTAATAATAAAATAAAAGTTGCAGGGAACACGTGAATGCCTATTCTTACACCACACTTGCTAACAGTCCTGAGTTTAGCTGGATAGTCCTGACTTTAGGACTATTTTCCCAGGTATTTTCTCTTATCCATCTTCACTATGCAAGATATATGTCCGCCGACCGTATATTGTAAGCTTGTTTGAGCAGGGCCTTTCTTGTATTGTACAGCGCTGCGGAATATGTTGGCGCTAAATCAATATCAATAATCAGTCGATCAATCAAGAATAATGCAGCATTTAATGCCATACGCCAGTGTTTCAGTAGCACTTTGCCTATAAGCAGCTGGTCAAGCTGGGGTCTCCTCGTTTACAGGCTGGAATATTGCTTGTGAAGCAAACTGGGTCCCGGGCACATTGCAAGTAAGTTCCACTGGAATTCCTGCCAAGATCAATTGTTTTTACACCTGCAGCATGAGAGTGCTGCATACGTCTGATGGTGCCTTTCATGCACAGCTCCACAACATGAAACTTTACTATCGGGATTATTCACTAAAGTGAGAATGGACAGAAATGTAAATTTCAAATAACCCTGTATATGTCCCTCTAAACCAGGCTTCCCCAAACTCCGGCCCTCCAGATGTTGCTGAACTACAACTCCCATGATTCTATGAATGAACTAGATGGGCTGAGGATCATGGGAGATGTAGTTCAGGAACATCGGAGTTTGGGGAAGCCTGCTCTAAATCAATGGTGCCCAAAGGTTAGGTCCCCAGATGATGTAGAACTACAAATCCCATGATGCTTTGCAAGTCTTTAGAATGACAAAGGATCATGGCAGCTGTCATTTTAAAACATCTGGGGATCTACCTTTTGGGCCCCCTGCTCTAAACCACAGTGATCTGAAAATCAGAGTTTAATTCTTCAACCAGCAGGGCATCACATACATTTATTTCACGATAAATCATTTTTAAAATACAAATGGCGCAGCCATCCCGATCCTACGTGAAATCTTTGTCGAACCTGGGTAACTAGGAAGGTAATCTCTTTTCATTGATTCAATGCTAAATGCTGTTTTTGGCAGGGGCTCAGATTACCTGCACTATGAGGTGTTTGGATAGCTTGTGGTGATATTATTTGATACACAATAGCCTTTGCGTTTGCTTACTCTTTTTACATTATTGTCTAGACCAGCTTTGTCAAGGAGAGTTCATTGAGATTTTCCCATAGGCCATTGCACTAGTAAGGTGATTCAGGAATCGGAATTTAGACAGCTTGACAAATTACTGTAAATATGAATCTGCTTGTGTACTGCATGTTAGTCATATCCTGTGAGTTCAACTAAAGGTTTATTCGCTAAACAGTGACAGGGATATTCAATAAAGTCTCCAGAACATACTTAAAAACCACAGAAAGCTCAATGCCTCCATCCTGGTAAAGATTTAAATGAAAGAGTAGAGGTTACTAACAGGGTTATTCAGTAAAGTGAGAATTCCAAGGGAATTTCAAATTTAAGGCCAGAGTAGTCAAACTGTAAGTATTGCTGACTTTGAGAATTTCTCCAGTTTGGCTATTCTGCCCTTAAGTTAGAAATTCACAGTTTTGCAACAATTTGCCCCCTTAGCTGGGTCCCCGCCAGGCTCCAAGGCTCCCTGGTGGTCTAGTGACGCGCTAACAGCTTCCGCAGAGCTGCAGAAGCCGGAAGCTAAGGCCGGCGCCACTCATTGGCTGAGAACATCAGGTGACCGTTCTCAGTCAGTGAATGAAATTCTATGGAATGTAAATTAAGATGAGACCGGAACTCTTATTAAACGCTACATGACACCCCAATGATTCTTTTGGAGGTAGAGCTACACCCCTGGCAGCAAAGGGTTTTCATAGCAAAACAGTGCACAAACAGACTTCAGGCACCATAACCACTTCAAATCACTGAAGTGGTCATGGTGCTTGGAATAACCCTTTAATGTCCATCCCACAATGATACTGAATATCATACCAACGATTCACAATTTAGTGTTTATATCTGTTGTTTTATTAGCTCCTCTTATTTTTGGATTATCTTACATTCTCGTACATTTCTCTAATTCGCTAAAATTTTCAATAAAAATGAACGGCAAAAATTGGAAACACTTAGATAAGACTTTTGTTAATTCAATAAAAAAAAAAATCTGAATGCTGATTAGACGGTGGAATTATATAGCCGCATCATCCCCACCTTTTAGGTGGAGTAGGGAATTATGCTACGAAAATATTTTCTCTGGATCTTCAAACACTAATAATACGAGCAGGCGAAGGCGGTATGTACTAGAATTAGATGCAACTCACACTTCATCTAAACAAGCCCTTCATTGTAAATTGACACAAGAGATATATAATTACAGCTTATCCTATGCAATCACAAAGCTTTATGGTAATTTAAGATCTTATGTGTGTTTATGTGCAATGTGTTTCTTCTTTGCCCTTATTATACAAAGTAGTTTATTAGTTCAGGCACTGTGAGACATTCAGGGCTATTTACTTAAGTGAGATTTCAAAGGGAATTTCAAATTTAAGGCCAGAGTAGCCGAACTCAAAGCATTGTGGAGAATTTTTCAAGATCGGCTATTTTGGGCTTAAATTTGAAATTCACTTTGAATTAGAATCACTTTAGTAGATAACCATGAGACTAGAATTGATATTGCCAGTTTACTATTCTATAAAGGACGACAAAAGGGTTTATTCACTAAATTCATACCGCCCAAAGTTCAGATTACCCTCCTCCCCCTTTCCACCGCCCAGCAGTTGTGGGAATAAATGTATAATGAGTGGGCAGCGATGCATGGTCACTCACTAAAAGCCTCATTTTACTAGCGGTGGAATGAAGGCGTGAATATTCTGAGGTGGGGAACCTACCAGTAGTCTGTCCTGTCCCTTTCCCTGGCATTGAGTGAGAGCACATTAAATAGTCCTGGGGATCATTAACTGGGCATGCCATTATCTATTCACCCCCTGCCCCCACCTATGTCCGTCTGATGAGTAGAATGTCATAATGGGAGGGTGAACATGCCAGCTGGATTCAAAAATATCTTAGTGGAATGTAAATTATCATGAAACGTAAGACATGCAGGATATCCCCCCATTTCCCCACTTTGTCACAAAAAAATACCCTCCCCAGTAGTGCCAGGCAGATGCCACTACTGGCCTGGCACTGCTGGGCAAAAGTGTTTTTTCTCTCCCGATGCCCCTATACTCATGTGGGCATAGAGGAGACTGCTTTCTTAACCTGGAGGGTTAGCCGTATGGTATACCCATAGCTGTAGTACAGCCACTTACCCATGTTTTATCTATATCTAGAAATTAATTGTAACCATATTTGCAAGCGATTTCTCCCCTAGATGACTGCGTATAGGGGTTATTTGAGGGCATTATTGGCCATTTCAAATTAATTCTAGTTTTTGAGGGAAAATGTCCTTTACTGACTAATTCTGATTTGTATAGACTAGATCAGGGATAGGCAACCTTCGGCACCCCAGATGTTGTGGACTACATCCCCCATAATGCTCTTACACCTATAATGCTGGCAAAGAATCATGGGAGGTGTAGTCTAAAGCATCTGCAGTGCCGAAGGTTGCCTATGCCTGGACTAGATGGACTTTTCCCATAAACCTCTGCTGTACAAATCGTGGTGGAAAATATACAGATCTCCTATAAAGAGGGAAAGCCAAGATTGACTAGGGCATTTCAAAAATGTAAAGGTTGAAAAAGAAGGTACTACAGAAGGATCATGCACCCAGGATTAGATGTAAAATAAGAACATAAGATTAATACATTTTTATTCTTTTTCTTTTATGTTATCTCTTTAAAACGGGAATTAAAGACATAGTTAAAGGCGGTACATTATTTCTTACTTTTTAATTTACCGCTATTTTATTTCAGTTTGCAGTTAAGTCCATACATGGTAACACCCACGTATATGTACTTATAAACAAATGTATACACTCGACTGCCAAACTTCATGAAAAAACTCCCTTCTGGGATGTGTGGAAAAATGCAACAATATGTATACATTTGCGCAAAACCAGTAGAACGTATGTATAACAATATTTTATTGCTTGAGGCGAGGGAATCATTCATCTACAGTTTGTAACATGATATCCAGTGGAAATCTGTGGGAATTGGCCAGATGCAATAAAGTAATCCTAAAAATTTAGACAGGGTTATTCAATAAAGTGTCAACTGGCAAGAAACTGAAAGTGAAGTGGAGGTGATTTTTCAAATTTTTGACAAAAATAGACCAAATTAGACCAAAATACCCGAACTAAAATTGAATTGCGAGTATATTTCAATTCGCTATCGTTGCGACAGAGGCAAACACAGCGTCGACAGAGAAAGATGACCCTCTTATCGGGTTTTGTTACTTCCACTTGTGCAGGCCTCTTTCATCTGAATTAAGTTGTTATAGTGTGAGGCAGTCACTGGATGCTTGCTTACCCCAGGGTGTTGAATTTGGAGCCCAATCGCTCTACACAAGAATGTCTGCTGCACTCCAAGACTTGAATCAGGAAGCTTCGGCCTGGGAGCCATTTTGTGAATGGGGAGCTACTGGTAGGCCAAGACCATGAGCTGACTCTCTCAGCCTATCAGCAGCGCCTCTGTCCAAGGCTTCCTTGTTCAAGCTAAGGACTGTGGCCCATGTTTGTGGGTAGTGTGGCAAACCTAGCCACTCGGACTATAACTGGACACTGTGCCTTTAAGGGTTGCCTATAGGTCTGGAGAGAGATGCATTGTACCTGTATGTGCCTGCTTCATGTATTCCCTGCATTGCCTGTACCTATCTGTTCCGCCGAATGCAAATGGCGGTTTGTATGGGGATTCCCGTTCGTTTCGCGAACGGCACTTTGGAGGGCCGTTCGTGAAACGAATGCGATACCCCCTAATAGCCCACACACTTAGAGGCGTGTGGCGCTAGTTAACCGATTGCAACATTGTTGCAATCGGTTATTAGAGGCTCTCCTGGGTGGCCGTCGTTCGACTACCGACCATGCGGCGGGCGGCCATCTTGGATCCCTGGTTCGTCAGCGGGTCCGTGTCGTCGAACGCATAGCATTCCCAACAGTCATTCGACGGCACGAACACCGTTAAGCCTCCAGGACGTTCGGGAGTTTCAGGACCAGGTTCATTAAAGACAATCGGTTCTTTTCATGTGTTTTTAAAGAAAGGTGTTTTCTGTGCGGCGTTCGGTTATTTTAGCTGGGATCTGAGCGGCAATCTCACGAATGATGCGCCCAGACCCCAGCTATCTACCGAACGTCCATTCGTGTAAATCCACCGTATATTGTACCAACTGTGGATTTTTGTGTGAATTGCCGGTTCTGCTGCACGAGGGGATAATCCCCTTAACGGTGCATTCTGGGAGGATGATCCCTCTCGTGCAGCGGTGCCTGATGGGAGAAATATGTAGTACAGTAAGTCCCCCATGTAGTCCCCTCCTGTACAACCCCTGTAATGTCTGTTTGGAAACCCCTTGCATGGGGAATTGCATAAATACTGTGACCTGTGATTAAAACCTCAGTTGACTCCCAGCCTATGTGTCGTCTAGTTCTTGGGAAGGAAGGGTTACTACAGTGCTGTTTGGATTATTATATGCTGATTCCCTGGATTATCCTTTGTTGTTCCTGTTACCCAGCGGAGATATCGTGGATCATACTGCCTCTCCGCTACAATTGGTGGCAAGCGACGGGATTGAATTTACACAGCAAAGCAACGTTCGGCAGATTTTTAAACGAATCAAGGAACCAGCATTCGGGAATCAGCGCATTCGAATAAACCTCACGAACAGCAGGTGAATGGGAACAGACTACACCCTGCTAAAACGGAGCACATTAAAGGAGCTGCTGGAAGCAAGAGGAGCAATCGCCAGTAACAAGGCAAAGGCTGTCCTAATAACGGAGCTCATGGAAGGAGACAGAGCCGCAGCTGCTGCAGCACCTCAAATGGAGGGACAAAACAACGAATTTACAGCGGAATTCCGAGCACGACTGGCGTTATTTCCTGAACCACCATCTACAGAAATGTTTAACCGGCTGTTCGCCGATGTACAGGAGTACATTATGGCTAGGGGACCGCCAGGAAACCAGCAAGCCAGAGAAAGAGCCGCAACGCCAGTCCATAGTTTCCCAGGGAAAACCAAAATCCCATATCAAGCCTTCAAAAGCTATGTGGAGACAGAGGGTGGCGTTGACGACTATTTACAAGATTTCGAGAGACTGTGTTTGCTGCACGAGATTAATGATGCAGACCGAGTACCCCTACTAGCGGGGAGATTATCTGGGCGAGCCGCCGAAGCGTACCGGGCAGTACCAGACGAGGATAGTAGAGACTACGCTAAAGTAAAACGGGCCATCCTAGCCCGGTATGCCATCACCTCAGAGGCATACCGAAAGAAATTTCGGGACATTAAAAAACCCAGTAAGGACACCCATGTGGAGTGGGCGCACCAGCTACAACGAGCTGCCAAAGGGTGGCTGGAGGCCGCCCAAGTTGATACATTGGAGGGTCTGTTCCAGCTAATGGTACTGGAACAATTCTTCAATGGCGTCCCGACCTACCTACAAAACTGGATCCGGGACAGGAAGCCACACACCCTGCAGGAAGCGGCTAATATGGCAGACGATTTCCAGGACAATCGGAGAGATCAACCTATACCAACCCGAGCCACCATTCCCCCTACAACGGCCAGCCCTCCAGGGGGCCCCGCAACGTACCAGCGACCAGGGGTAAATCAGAATTCCTACCCCCCCAGATATTCAGCACGTCCACCAATCCGGTGCCATACCTGCAACCAACAGGGGCACATCCAGAGAGACTGCCCACGGAACGGGCCTCGACCCAGCTGGAATAACGCCGCCCCGAGCAACCGTGCCGCAGTCCACTGTCTACAGGCCGAATCCGACCAAAACCTGGAGTTGGGGACGACCCGGGAGGAACCTCTCGGTACGCTACACGAGGTGAACCCTGTCCAGGCCGCCTCCGATAACCGCCAAGGGCACCGCCAGGAAGTACACATGGAAGGGAGGAAAGTACAAGGACTTCGTGACTCGGGAGCCACCCTAACTCTAGTACGCAGTCATCTGGTACCAAAGCCCAAGCTCACGGGGGACTGTGTGGCTGTGCGGGTGGCTGGGGGAGCCATTTACAAAGTACCCACGGCCAAGGTGCACTTGAATTGGGGAGCGGGGCACGGGAATGTATATGTGGGGATGATGCAAGACTTGCCAGCGGATGTGATTTTGGGCAACGATTTGGGGGAGCTGACTTCGGCTTTTGTTCCCCAGCCCACCGTACAAGAAGCATACCCGGTTGTGACCCGGCAACAGGCCCGCACCACTGCACCATTCGAACACTCTGAGGCTCAGGTAAGCAATGACCCTCCCCTACCTCCTACCCTGCCCTGGGCCAATTCCCTAGAGTTCGGGGCCGAAGTAGCCCTAGATCCTTCGTTACAGGTGTACAAAGACCGCATGGATAAAAATCAAGCTGGGTTAGAGGGGGAAAGATATATCTGGGACAAGGGGCTACTATATCGGCACGCAGAGAAGGTAGTGTCCGGGTCAATACCATTGCCCATTAAACAGCTAATAGTGCCTCGAAAATATAGGTTAGAGCTGTTACGCATAGCCCATGATATCCCCCTGTCTGGACACCTAGGCATCAGTCGGACCAAGCACAGGCTGACCCAAAATTTCTTTTGGCCAGGTATTTCCCAGGATATTAAGCGGTATTGTCAGACCTGCGATACCTGCCAAAGGGTAGGCAAGAGGGGGGACAGATACAAAGCCCGACTACGGTCTCTGCCCATCATTGAAGAACCATTCAGTAGGGTGGCAGTAGACATTATAGGTCCCCTCGCAAAGCCCAGCCCCTCCGGCAAGAAGTATGTCCTAACTGTGGTGGACTACGCCACCCGGTACCCCGAGGCAGTGGCCCTAACGAACGTACACGCAGAAACGGTAGCCGAGGCCCTGATGAGGATATTCACCCGGGTAGGATTTCCCCGGGAGATTATCTCCGATAGAGGCACCCAGTTTACTGCGGAAGTGACCCATCAGCTCTGGAAAATATGTGGGATACAACAAATCCTCAACTCCCCATATCACCCCCAGTCCAATGGGCTCTGTGAACGATTTAACGGAACCCTGAAACAAATGATCCGCACGCTCATGGACACCCAAAAGGACTGGGAGCGGTTCTTACCCCACCTACTGTTCGCGTATCGAGAAGTGCCACAAGAATCCACCGGATTCTCTCCGTTCGAATTATTATTCGGGAGGAGAGTGAGGGGACCTCTTGACTTGATACGGGAACACTGGGAGGGAGACGAAACCGTTAATGGCACCCCTATCTTACCATATGTGCTCGAGTTCCGGGAACGCCTGGAGAGGCTAACCCAGACCGTCCGAGACAATCTCCAGGTAGCGCAACAACGACAGCGCCGATGGTATGATAAGGGAGCCAGGGACCGCAGCTTTCAGGTGGGGCAGAAAGTCTTAATCCTGCGACCCGTCCACAAAGATAAGCTGCAGGCTTCCTGGCAGGGCCCATACAAGGTGGTGGAACAGATCTGTGACACCACCTATGTGATCGGCCCGGTTACCGGCGTGGGAGGCAAACGCATGCTCCATGTGAACATGCTCAAGCCATACCACGAACGGACGGAGGAAGTCACCGCAATCTGTGCCCCTGCCACGGAAGATTTTGATAACCTACCCCTACCCGATCTCCTAGACCAAGAGGGCCAGAGCGGAGATCTGGGAGAGGTACAGTTAGGAGAAAGATTAAATACCCAAGAACGGGCCCAGGTACAAAGGTTGCTTCAGGAAAAGAAGGCCACGTTTTCCAATTTACCCGGCTATACCCCGTTGGCTACCCATAAGGTAGAAACGTTAGATTCGACCCCCTTGCGCCAACCCCCCTACCGCACTCCAGAAGCAGTCAAGGAGAATATGCGCAAGGAAATTGAGGAGATGATTCAGCTAGGAGTAATAGAGCACTCGGACAGCCCCTGGGCCTCCCCGGTAGTACTGGTGCCGAAACGGGACGGGACGACCCGTTTCTGCGTAGACTACCGACGGCTCAACAATAAAACGACCTCTGACGCATATCCCATGCCCCGAATAGACGAACTCCTCGATAAGATGGCCAGGGGTCAATACCTAACCACTATAGACTTGTGCAAAGGGTACTGGCAGATTCCCTTAGCGGACGACGCCATCCCTAAGTCGGCTTTTGTCACCCCGTTTGGCCTGTATCAGTTTAAGGTCATGCCATTCGGGATGAAAAACGCTCCAGCTACCTTCCAGAGAATGGTGGACAGACTGTTAGATGGGTTCCAGGAGTATGCCTGCGCGTATCTAGATGATATCGCCATATTCAGCCACTCCTGGCACGAACATCTGGTTCACATAGGAGCCATCCTAGACCGAATCCGAGAGGCCGGACTGACCCTAAAACCCAGCAAATGCCATATCGGTATGGCGGAAGTCCAGTATCTGGGACACCGGGTAGGGAGTGGGCAACAGAAACCCGAACCTGCTAAAATAGAGGCAGTCGCCCAATGGCCTACCCCTCGCACCAAGACCCAAGTGCTCGCCTTTTTAGGGACCGCCGGGTACTACCGGAAGTTTGTGGCCAACTATAGCGCCCTCGCCAAACCCCTCACAGACCTGACCCGCAAGAACCTCCCTAAATTAGTAGTCTGGGCCCCAGAGTGTGAGCAGGCGTTCCAACAGCTCAAGACGGCGCTGGTTAATTCTCCTGTACTTTCTGCTCCTGATCCAACTAAACGCTTTCTCGTCCACACAGACGCTTCTATGTTTGGATTGGGAGCAGTACTGAGCCAAGTTGGACCCGATGGCGGCGAGCACCCCGTAGCTTACCTAAGCCGAAAACTTTTACCCAGGGAAGTAAGCTACGCCGCCATTGAAAAAGAGTGCCTGGCTGTGGTGTGGGCCCTCAAGAAGTTGCAACCCTACTTATACGGGCAACCCTTCACTTTACTCACGGATCACAACCCGTTGGTGTGGCTGAACAGGGTGTCCGGAGACAATGCCAGGCTGCTGCGCTGGAGTTTGGCGCTGCAGCCTTTTGACTTTACTATCCACTACCGCCCTGGGAAGCAGAATGGCAACGCCGACGGGTTGTCTAGACAAACAGACTTGGAGCCGTGATTCGTGAGTACTCCTCCGGACATCCCCAAGCCGATCCGTTGGGATCAGACTGTGTATGCCGGCTTGGTTCTGGGGGAGCATTGTGGCAAACCTAGCCACTCGGACTATAACTGGACACTATGCCTTTAAGGGTTGCCTATAGGTCTGGAGAGAGATGCATTGTACCTGTATGTGCCTGTTTCATGTATTCCCTGCATTGCCTGTACCTATCTGTTCCGCCGAATGCAAATGGCGGTTTGTATGGGGATTCCCGTTCGTTTCGCGAACGGCACTTTGGAGGGCCGTTCGTGAAACGAATGCGATACCCCCTAATAGCCCACACACTTAGAGGCGTGTGGCGCTAGTTAACCGATTGCAACATTGTTGCAATCGGTTATTAGAGGCTCTCCTGGGTGGCCGTCGTTCGACTACCGACCATGCGGCGGGCGGCCATCTTGGATCCCTGGTTCGTCAGCGGGTCCGTGTCGTCGAACGCATAGCATTCCCAACAGTCATTCGACGGCACGAACACCGTTAAGCCTCCAGGACGTTCGGGAGTTTCAGGACCAGGTTCATTAAAGACAATCGGTTCTTTTCATGTGTTTTTAAAGAAAGGTGTTTTCTGTGCGGCGTTCGGTTATTTTAGCTGGGATCTGAGCGGCAATCTCACGAATGATGCGCCCAGACCCCAGCTATCTACCGAACGTCCATTCGTGTAAATCCACCGTATATTGTACCAACTGTGGATTTTTGTGTGAATTGCCGGTTCTGCTGCACGAGGGGATAATCCCCTTAACGGTGCATTCTGGGAGGATGATCCCTCTCGTGCAGCGGTGCCTGATGGGAGAAATATGTAGTACAGTAAGTCCCCCATGTAGTCCCCTCCTGTACAACCCCTGTAATGTCTGTTTGGAAACCCCTTGCATGGGGAATTGCATAAATACTGTGACCTGTGATTAAAACCTCAGTTGACTCCCAGCCTATGTGTCGTCTAGTTCTTGGGAAGGACGGGTTACTACAGTGCTGTTTGGATTATTATATGCTGATTCCCTGGATTATCCTTTGTTGTTCCTGTTACCCAGCGGAGATATCGTGGATCATACTGCCTCTCCGCTACAGGTAGTGTGCTTGGGCGCTAGATTCATCACTTTGAGATTAAACTGTTCGTTAATGGTTTACTCTCTGGGGTAAGCTGAGGTAAGTCTCCTGTACAGGTAGATGTCATGTGACTGTAGAGACATAAGGTACCAGCTATGATGACTTTATTTTTATTGTGAATGGCATGTGTGGCATACAGTCGATGATCTGAATATTTGAGAACCTTAGAAATTGAGACCTAGACTTGTGCAAACAGCTTGAAGCGATTTGTCCGAATCAAAAGTCTGGTAATTGCTGAATGAATAAATTCTGAGTCATTTACCTGTGAATTTATCTGTGGAGTCTGCAGATCAGATTGATTCGGAATCGTTTAATAGGAATTTGATTGGGATTAATCACTTTAAACTAAGTTTTACTCAAGTTTACTAAGAACTCACTAACCTCGAAAACCTGCTCATTTAATCCAGACCTTGCTTCTGTCTCATTTAGTTTGAATTCTGATAATGTGACCATTTACCCTGGGAATTCATAAAATGTGTTTAAATCATAGAGGGGACTGTATGGCACAATAATGTATAAAACAATAAGTGTGTGCTTATTGCTGTCGCCCAGCTAGAATGGAGGAGACAGGCAGAGAGGCAGTGCTGCATGGAGAGGGAGAGACACGTAATGGTTTATTCACTAAACTGGAGAGATTGTAATGTAAATGTGAATTGTACCTTGTTTCTGTCTAAATCTGGTTCTTCATATTAATCCCATCTGCAAGATTTACTTGCTTACATAAAATAACTCATTATTGCACGTACCTACTCTTACTGTATGCTGCAGCCACCCATGATGGATGGAGGGAGAAATGGATGGATGGATGGATTGAGGAATAAAATGGATGGAGGGATGGACGGATGGATTGAGGAATAAAATGGATGGAGGGATGGAGGGATGGATGGAGGTAGAAATGGATGGAGAGAGAAATGGATGGAGGGAGAAATGGATGGAGAGAGCAACAGATGGATGGAGGGAGGGATGGATGGATGGAGAGATGGATGGAGGGAGAAATGTATGGAGGTAGGGTGGGAGGGATGGGTGGATGGAGGGAAAGAGGGAGAAATGAATGGAGGGAGGGATGGATGGAGGGAGAAATGAATGGAGGGATGGATGGAGGGAGAAATGAATGGAGGGAGGGATGGATGTATGGAGAAATGAATGGAGGGATGGATGGAGGGAGAAATGAATGGAGGGAGGGATGGATGGAGGGAGAAATGAATGGAGGGAGGGATGGATGGATGGAGGGGAAATGGATGGAGGGGAAAATGGAGGGATGGATGGAGGGATGGAGAGATTGATGGAGGGACAAATAGATAAATACAGCATAGACATAAAAGATGGATGGAAGATAATGTTTATATAGATATAACATTGTATTGATATAGTGCAGGGATAATATGTGTGGATAGATTGATAGATACAGTAATAATGTATATAGCTATAGATGTATCTGATGTTGTGATAAAGTATATATAGGGATGCATTATTGATCAGTATCTATGATATTGAATGATGTATTGATCAGTATGTGTGATATTGTATATATTTATAGATCTATCATGTATTGATCAGTTGCTATTGATACTATATGTATCTGAAGATCTATATATTGATCAGTTTATGTGATATTGTCTATATATGTATGTATCGACCAGTATGTGTAATTATATAGTATTGATCAGTTGCTATTGATGCTGTTTAGATGTATATATCGATCAGTATGTGGGATAGTGTCTATAGATTGCTATATTATCGATCAGTATGTGTGATATTGTCTATATTATCGATCAGTATGTGTGATATTATCTATATTATCGATCAGTATGTGTGATATTGTCTGTTATCGATCAGTATGTGGGATATTGTATATATTATTCATCAGTATGTGTGATATTATTTATCTTATCGATCAGTAAGTGTGATATTGTCTATATTATCGATCAGTATGTGTGATATTGTATATATTATTCATCAGTATGTGTGATATTGTCTATATTATCGATCAGTAAGTGTGATATTATTTATCTTATCGATCAGTATGTGTGATATTGCATATATTATCTATCAGTATGTGGGATATTGTCTATATTATCGATCAGTACGTGTGATATTGTCTATATTATCGATCAGTATGTGGGATATTATCTATATTATCGATCAGTATGTGTGATATTGTCTGTATTATCGATCAGTATGTGGGATATTATCTATATTATCGATCAGTACGTGTGATATTATCGATCAGTATGTGTGATATTGTCTATATTATCGATCAGTACGTGTGATATTGTATATATTATCGATCAGTATATGTGATATTGTATATATTATCGATCAGTATGTGTGATATTGTCTATATTATCGATCAGTACGTGTGATATCATTGATCAGTATGTGGGATATTATCTATATTATCGATCAGTACGTGTGATATTATCGATCAGAATGTGTGATATTGTATATATTATCGATCAGTATGTGTGATATTATCGATCAGTATGTGGGATATTGTATATATTATCGATCAGTATGTGGGATATTGTCTATATTATCGATCAGTATGTGTGATATTATCGATCAGTAAGTGTGATATTGTCTATATTATCGATCAGTACGTGTGATATCATTGATCAGTATGTGTGATATTGCATATATTATCGATCAGTATGTGGGATATTGTCTATATTATCGATCAGTACGTGTGATATTGTCTATATTATCGATCAGTACGTGTGATATTGTATATATTATCGATCAGTATGTGTGATATTGTCTATATTATCGATCAGTACATGTGATATTGTCTATATTATCGATCAGTACGTGTGATATCATTGATCAGTATGTGGGATATTATCTATATTATCGATCAGTACGTGTGATATTATCGATCAGTATGTGTGATATTGTATATATTTTCGATCAGTATGTGTGATATTATCGATCAGTATGTGGGATATTGTATATATTATCGATCAGTATGTGGGATATTGTCTATATTATCGATCAGTATGTGTGATATTATCGATCAGTAAGTGTGATATTGTCTATATTATCGATCAGTACGTGTGATATCATTGATCAGTATGTGTGATATTGCATATATTATCGATCAGTACGTGTGATATTGTCTATATTATCGATCAGTACGTGTGATATTGTCTGTATTATCGATCAGTACGTGTGATATTGTCTATATTATCGATCAGTAAATGTAACCCCGGTGTCTGACTCTCTTGCTCTGTGTGTTTAAGGCCGGCCTCCTCCTCCTCTCTCCAGACCCGCCTCTCCTCCTCCCAGCCATAAAATGAGCAGCGCCCACCCGAGGCTCACCCAGAGCGGAGCCGCAGCAGCCGGAGCAGTGCCCGGGGCGGACCCAGCAGACATGCCGGCCACCGAGAAGGACCTGGCGGAAGACGCTCCCTGGAAGAAGATCCAACAGAACACGTTCACCCGCTGGTGTAACGAGCATCTCAAATGTGTCAACAAGCGGATCGCCAACCTGCAGGCGGACCTGAGCGACGGCCTCCGCCTCATCGCCCTGCTCGAGGTGCTCAGCCAGAAGAAGATGTACCGTAAGTACAACCAGAGACCCACCTTCCGGCAGATGCAGCTGGAGAACGTGTCGGTGGCCCTGGAGTTCCTGGACCGGGAGAACATCAAGCTGGTCTCCATAGGTGAGCTGGGGGGGAGCAGACACACGTGTCTCTACTGGGGGGGTGTGTGGGTCCTTTTAATGTACTGCACCATGGAATGCGTGGGAGATACTGTATAGAGTTCCCTTATAGAACGCTGGAATAACACTTTGTATCACTTTAGAATGTTGGGGAATGTCAGAATCACTGTGACATGTTCTGTCACTTTAATTCTCCAGTGCGTTCCATCCCTTGTAAAGTAAATCTGTTCTTTAATGGAATATAAGGGGGTGTATGGTCAGGTATCACTATGACCCCTTAGTTCTCACATTGATACTGCACCATAGGATGTATTGGGGATATTCCATCATTCTCCTAGGTTAACATTATAGAGTAACTCCCTTCTATCACTGGGGTATGTGGGGTGGGTGTGCAAAGTAAAGTGTGTCCATTTACTTCTCCCTTTGTACTGCACCATAGGATGTGTTGGAGATATTCCATTACTCTCATTGGAGAAGTTTATAGAGCAACTCTGTTCCCTTTATTGGGTTATGAGGGGGAATGCAAGTTAAAGTATCACTGTGACATGTTCTGTGTCACTTTAATGTTTCAAACTTCCATCCCATTGCACTGCAACATGGAGTATGTTCGAAATCTCTAGTATTCCCTCCCTCTCCCCCCCCCCACCCCCCTCTTTATTAAATGTACTGTATTGGAGTCTTATTTGGTCAATGCTTAACTCTTCTTTAAACTGGCTTATTACCCATCTGATTGTTCTTCTTTGGAGGTGTGTGTGTATATTTGGTAATCCAAGATGAGTTGGAACTCTATGTACTCTTGTCTAAGAAGCTAGCAGATTCCTGCAGTCTACATCTGATGGGAAAATGTTTTTTTTTTTTTTAACCCCTTAAGGACCAAACTTCTGGAATAAAAGGGAATCATGACATGTCACACGTCATGTGTCCTTAAGGGGTTAAAGAAAGATAATCCCATAGTGGGCTTTCCATTGCTCTACAAAGTGAGGCTTTCTGTTTAACTTCTTAATGACTGGGAGTCGATCAGCTTCTATCACTTCCTTTACCGTGAAGGAGTTAAAATGTTAGACTTCCATTGCCATCTGGGAGGACCTACAAACATTCAAGTGCCTCAATAGATTTAATATGACCCTTAATTTAACTTGCAAATTCATTCTGGATCTGAATGTTGATTCCTCTTAAAGGGAATCAATTTAATTGTATCATTGATGGTAATGAAGCCATGCCCCAAACTGGTATTCCTCTTATTTCAGGTGATAGGTGGCTTGCAGGTCAATAAAGACCCTCCTTCCTGGGTTTCCAGTAGCTATTCCTAAAATGGGACAGCATGTATTGTCCTACCCTTTCTAGGTGTTTAGCAGGGTCCCCACTTCTATTAACTCTCACTGCACAAGATAAAGCAGATCAGTAAACCTCATCATTTCATACAGGCCTACCACAGTGTTGGTGGTTCATTTTAATGTTTGGGTGTAATTACACCCTCTGCAGACGCCTAACTGGTTTCTATGGCGACTGCATCAAATGACTCTTTGCAGCAGTTTTGATTATTCTCCTGCATCCCAGATCTTTCCTGGATAGAGGTCACTTCTCTTTAACGGAAGGTTGTTCTCTGAATAGTTTAAATTCTTTGGCTGTAAATTGCCCCAATATGGGTGGCTGAGGTCTTGCCCTACATGCTCCCAGCAGGCCTGTGGAATGTGGTTACCATAGTATTTCTTTAGGGTCACCTAAAATCAGGCATTTTGGGGCACGAATTCCACCCCTTCTCTTGTATCCACTTTGGTTAAGAGAGTAATTGTGAGATTAACTCCCACAACCCCAACACATTGCAAGTATGTGTTGGAACTCCAAACTATGGTATTTTGTTTTCTCAGATCCTGCATTTGTCAACTTCTAAATATTTTTTTTTAACATTAAATTACACTATTGAAATGTTCCTCTTGGCTATGCATTTTAAACTTGGGAGTGGTATCTCTTTCAAAATAACAAAGTATTTGCCTCCAGGAAATGCCCAAAAGCTTAAGTCCAACCCCAAATTCCTACTCCCTTTTTTATATTCTGTTTATGAATCATGGTCTAGAAAACTCAGTGTTTCTTAGCCTCTAGCCTCTATCCCACGCCACTTCAACCCCTGGCTGTGTCTGTGCATAAAGGCTGCACTTCTGAGTTTTTATTAATGGACAAGATTAATCAGAGCAGTGAAGGGTGGGTGGATGGATTTGGGGAGTGTCGGGCTCCTCAGCTCGAACAAGGGCTCATAAAACAAGATGAGACAAGTGTCAGGATGGTGCCTGCAATTTAAATGTTGATTAACACTTTGAATGCTGGATGTTTCTGGCATGTCTATCTTTTCCCATTGAAAGCGAATAAACAGTCAATGAACTCTCATTTTATGTGGATTTAGTTGCAGAAAAATATGAACCATTAAGGTTATGATGTGCCATCTAAACTTAAGGGGTTAATTCGATGCATCCACTGAAATCAATGAGGGTTTCCTTACGGTTCTAAATCTACAGAAAGAGGACTCCCCTCGGAAGATTCTCTGCATACCCCATGCTATTAAACTGATGGGTTTACTTTTGTTAACTCTGTCCGAAGTTAAAATGCCCCAAATCCTTTGAGTGTAGTAGATGGGCAGGGAGTTATGGGAGTCTTAGTCCAACATCTGGAGAGGTGGAGTTTGAGAACCCCATTCTAAGGCTCTAGAATTAATCCAGATTTGTTGTATGTATTCTATAGTAAAACCTACATTAAATGCATCGCTGTAGAATGTAACCTCTCCAGGGTTAACAATTTATTACAGATTATTTCAATACCCAGGACCCTTTCGGGACTGTTTTCTGGATAAAACCTTTCTCTTCCAGTTTGAACATCTGTTTAATCCATTCCAAACTCATGGCTACATCCTGGCTTTTTGTGCTTTGTGGCTGCAGGGGGTTACAATTTCCTGCGTTGTCACCCGTCATGTCCTGAGCTATGTAGTAGTTGCCCAAGATTGCAGAGTATTTGTCAGCCTGTCTGCATTCAGAAATAAACAGTTTGCACACTTAAATGACTGGCAATACCACACCCAGTCATTCTCTAGAAACCACTACTTGAACAGTAAACTCTGTAGTGTGCAATAACGTTCTTGGAAACCTCAAGGAGCTGGGCCAGGGACGGCTCTAGATTTAACCCCTTGGCTAGCTCTGCATTGTTTCCTGGGTCTATAATTTGCTTTGCAATAACTAATTTTTTGTTAAATTCGGCCTGTCTAGTGCTGGGAGCAATGTTCTCTTAATTCAAAGCTGATTTGGCTCTTTAACACTTCGAGTACATGAGTGCTTTAAGTGATGTATCAAACACATTGCAACAATGTATTTGGCCACCTGTATGGCCCTCAAAGCCTTTAAGGACTTGCAGCCTTAACAAAAGAACACTGTCTTGTTGCAGAATTCTATTTACTTTTAGAGATCTTGTCCTACTGGCAACTAAAGGGTTACATCCCAATTTTCTGAAATAGAAGGGTTTTTGCAAAGCTCTCATTCCTGGCTGTATAATTATAAAGTAGTACCCCGCATGGTCAGGAAGTCGGGTTTTCTTGGAATTGTGACCTACTTGCTGCTGGAATTAAAACCCATTTGTATCAGACCTGACTTGCCAATATTTGGTTCCAGGCCCCAGCTGTCTCAAATCTTCCTTATTAACCAGTCTCTGCCAGCTGAATGGCAGATTACTGGAGGATCTTGTTGGCACAACGGTATCTTTGGCATCCTAGTAAAGTGTGCATTTTATGTAACATAGCGAAAAGTATATAAACATCAGTTTATTTAATTCTCTGAAAATGTCTTCACTTATCATCAAAACGATCAATAACATGTGAAGTTACCAGGCCACGAGGGGTCCACGGATTAACTGCAGATTTGATTCTTTGTGTTCAGTTCTGTACATGGAATTGGATTCTGTAAACACTTTGTCCCCAATTGCCCTGTGTCCTGAACCGCCCCTATTGCATGTCCTACACAGAGCTTTTATTAACCTCTTGTGCATCAGTGGTCTGAGAGGCCCTGCACAACCCCATCTGATACTCTGTCAACGTAGCACAAAATTGAGAGCCTGGCATTTTAACTGTCTGCATGTTTTATAGATGGCAAGAACATGGTGCCAGTCTAGAATGCCAGTTTAATATAGTTGTCCCTCTATCTGGCATAATTGGAAGTGACAGGAGGTGCTGTGTAACATTGTAACTGTCTGCATCACCACTTTTAAAGATGCTTGACCAGGTAAGGGTAGCATGGCATCATGGGAAATGTAGTTTATAAATACACACTGCCCTTATGGTCTTAAAAGATAACAGAATGGGTGCTCATGATTTGGGAGTTTATGGTTAATTGTGAGGACACTTCATCGAAAACTTAGTGTCTTCCATATGCTGAATGTTCTAAAGTTAACACTTAAACATTTAATATGCAAATAATGGAATTTAATGGATTTCAGATTCCCCTGTTTGTAATCGAGCAGCTATTTAAAGTTGGGGCCTAGAAGCCCCTTCCCCATTATTGCTCAGTTGGCAGTGAAACCCTTTCCCACCCCCTCTCAGTGGCTCTGCTGTAGTGCCAGACTAGGGTTTTTATACACCAGAGGCTCTTGGCAGTTTTTCAAGTGCAGCAGCTGCCGAATAATCTGCTGAATGGGTCGTTTTTATTCTAATGTCATGGCAACTGTAGTCTCTGGCGTCCTCTTCCTCCCCAGTCTGGACCCACAAGCAGCCTGACCAGAAGGCTGTGCTCCACCCAGCAGGAAACCCCACTTGCTATCAATATTGGCAAGAAATGTCAAACCCTCTTCTTCTACCCGCTTCTTGGGTTTACTTCTCAAACCCCGAACTGGCAGCCATACTGCCAATCAGATACACTCCTATCACCCTGATAAAGCTGAAATATTAAGTATAATGGGAGTTTGTAGTTCAATATATAGAACACAAGCTGCTTTGTTCAAAAATGTTGTTCTACTGAGCAGTGCTACTTGGTGGTAATAGGAACTGCAAAACAGACTTTAGAATTATTATTTTTTTTTTAATTTGGCAAGGGTTGGGCAAAATGTGTTGTCTCCCCCACTCCTTATAGAACCACAGGGTAGCTGGGTTTTAATGCATTATATGCAGAGAATAAGAGCTAAAAGTTGTGTAATTCACTTGTAAAGTTTAAACTAGTTCTGCGTACGGTGTTTTTGTCAAACCTCCCTCTGAGCTGAATGTTGGTAAGATACTAAGGTGTGGTTAGGGAGGACTTGGTTTTTTTTTTGGTTTTTTTTCCAAGGCAAATTGCTGCTGTACACACTGAATTGTCTGTTTTTTTTTGAGCTACTGGCTAATGACACTGTTGGAGTCCTCCTCTTATACAGTGCTTAACATGCTACCACCATGCCTTGATTGGACTTAACATGATAGTCTATAGATGTGGTGGCTTTTTGTGTAATAAATATGATTGCCTTTCATGATGTCCATCACTGTACCTCATGTCCAAATTGATAACTTAAAGGGACACTATAGCTACCAAAACAACTTTGGTTTAATGAAGCAGTTTTGGTGTACAGATCTCACCCCTGCAGTCACTCTGCTAAATTCTCTGCCATTTAGGAGTTAAATTGCTCTGTTTATAAAACTCTAGTCAAACCTCTGATCTTGACTCATGCAGCCTTCCTAATTACTTCCTGTGAATAGCCTGCTAGAGTCTGCAGCAGCTACCTGTGTGAATAAACTCAATTCAGAGTATGAGATGATAACTTCTAAAGTAAACACACTGCTTTGTGTTTTGGTTTTTCTCAATCATGGAGGCTGTGAGGCACAGCCTGGACACTTGTGGTTAGGGCTGCATAACAGAAAGTTAATTAAAGGACCACTATAGTGCCTTTTCCTGGCACTATAGTGCCCTGAGGGTGCCCCCACCCTCAGGGACCCCCTCCCGCCTGGCTCTGGAAAAGGGTTAAAACTTACCTTTTTCCAGCGCTGGGCGGGGAGCTCTCCTCCTCCTCCGATCCGCCCCGTCGGCTGAATGCCCACACGCGGCAAGAGCTGCACACGCATTCAGCCGGTCGTTCAGCATTCATAATGCTTTCCTATGGACGCTTGCGTATTCTCACTGTGATTTTCAGTGAGAAGCACGCAAGCGCCTCTAGCGGCTGTCAATGAGACAGCCGCTAGAGGCTTTGGGGGAAGGCTTAACCCATTGATAAACATAGCAGTGGTCCTTTAACTCCTAAATGGTAGATAATTGAACTGTGACACTGCAGGATAACACCAGGGATAAACCGATATAACTAACTTTTTTCCAGAGCTGATGCCAATACAGATTATCTGTGGCCTTTCACGCAGATTGATAACCAGTGCTGATATTCTGTAATGTTTTCATTTTTTGAAAGCACCACAGTTTCTTCCCAAAATGGCATTAAACAAACACGCTTGCAGCAATCACACTCCTATCACTGTCAGCCAACCCAGTACATTACTGTAGATCACTTACTGTCTCGTTTCCCTACATGTGGGATCTCACAGGGAGGGGTGAAGTGAGTTTATGACAGTGCCTCTTTGGATGGCAGCTGGAGTTTCTGTATTTGGAAGATTGCGTGCAGTGACAAAAAGGAGATAACGTTATCAGGAATATTGCTAAATTACAAGGTCACTACAACAATCTGCTCACTGTCTATCCCCAATCTTTACACCAAAACTGCATTAACATGGTTGTTACTGCTTTGTGTCCCTTTAAAGCAAAGTAGCCAAACCAGGAAAATTCAACAGTGCATTAGTTTGGCTACGTTCTCTTTTTTTTTTATTTATTTATTTTTTTTTAAATTTGAAAATTCACTTTGAATTCCCAACAATGGTCATGTTACAGGTCACTGACTAAAGGACTTGCATTTAAACACTGGATTGGTATCTTAGTCTCCGGGCCTATGGTACTGTAGAACACTGCATAAACATGTGCATGGGACACAAACTGCAATAAAAAGAAAATCGAATGCTGCTAGCAGAAGCAATTACATTTTAATCCTATTTTGTGATGTATTAGGAAGTGGTCTGCCCACTAATCCGTTAAAGATGTGCAATGTAATCCTTTCAATCTTATGGGTGTGCCCTACTAAATAGCCAAATCCGTGGACAAAAATCTTTCACAGTATTCTAATGGGTCAAAACTAAACCAGGATCTGTACCTGGAGATCTGTGGGGTTATTCATAGTGGCTGAATTTAGACTTAACTATAGCTTGGCTATATAGTTATAGTATATTTCTGTAATTTTTTTCCAATTTTTAACAATTCACTGTTGAGTCAATAAACCCCAGTACTGATCGGAGAAGCCGGCTCTGGCTTTGAGATGTTGAGAAAATAAGATTATTCAGCATGCTGACAAGAGAATCTGCTCTTGATGGGCTCCAAATGGAAGCGATTGTGGTGGCGTTCGCTGGCAGCATCTCCGCTAGTCTGACAGGACGCAGAACTTGTGTCTGGATAATGCTCCTTTACTCGGACTCTGTTCTGTAGAAATGCCAAGCTTGTTCTGGTGCGACCTGAATGGAAACGTTTGTGAATACTTTATTCTCTTCCCCCCCCCCGCCCCTTCTCTGTGATCTAAACCTGGCTCTGCTCTGGTGCTGGGAAATGTCGGCAGAAGCTGTATTGAAAAGCATGCTGTGTAGAATCCTTCCAGATGGGTAGCACAGACTAAAGGGACCAATACTGAGGTTTTCTCCTTCTGAGAGTATCTGGTTAACAACTTAAAGAGGTTTTCAAAGTATGCCAGTCCAACTCAATTGCTTATAGTAGCAGAATAAAGGCTTCAAAGTGGCTTGCCATAGTGATCTGAATTGTTGGCATCTTGCAGTTGACTATTGGCTAAACCAGGACAGTAGCAGATTGGTGCAGCAAGTAGATTGCGTAATCCAGTCCTGTTTGTACTGTACAGCAGACGTTGTCGTGCAATGTGCTGTTGAGATTTCACTTAAAGGAACACTATAGCACCATGAATACAAATCTGTTCTTGTCCCTACTTGTTTTCAGGACTCCATTGTTTTCAGTGGGAAGCAAAGTACACCTCCTCCCCCCTCCCCCCATCCTACTCTTTCCCAAGCACCAGGACTCCCTTGCCACTGCTTACCTCTCTGCTTTCTGTGATGTCAGAGGTGGCATGGCCTCCTAGGCAAAGGTCCATTCCTGTGCTCCTCAGAGGAGTATTGGGGACCTGATGTGCCACGCTCACTAAAATTTCCCCATAGGAAATCTTTGCATTCATGTTTCTATGCAGGCCCCCACATTGCATGATCAAATTTTTATTTGGCAGCGGCTACGTGCAATGTCTTGCACTGTAGGGTTAAAAGGATGGACACTGCACACAGACCACATCACTGTGATGGCAAGTATAAACCTAACACTGTATGACTGTTAATCAGGTGGATGTATGACATTGATAAGATTAACATGGATCTGGTGGCTCCTCAATGATCAAAACTTTGTGGACATTCTTGAACTTGTCAGTCTTCTACACAAGATCTTGCAGAAACCCAGGTATGCAGGACAGTTGCAAAGTCCTGTGTTCAACAAAGATTAACAAAGTGTTTGCTTTCAGGCTGCTCCTTATAGACTGGGGTGCCCAAAAATGAGATCATAGCAGTTTCAAAACTGCAGTTCCTATTATTCTCAAACAGCATTAAGAATGTTGGGTTATCATGGGAGCTTTAATTCCGTAACCACTTTGTACCTGCAGAGTTAGTCTGACCGTTCCTTGCAGTAAACTCTGTGCTTCCTTCCGTTTTTGGGCAGTAGCATTAAAATATTATTATAATGGCATAGACCGTTCCCTGGTCCTCTAACTTTGCCAAAGCTAACTTCTACTCTTACAGTACAGTATGCCCATCTGTGTTCAGTAAATACTTTGAAGGTCAACATTTTTCTTTTCCCTTGACAATCTGAAATCCATAGACTGTTCATGAGGCCATAGATCCGATGACCGTTTCCAAGAATAAGGGAAAAGGTTACCTTTTTATTTTTCATACAGCACTTTATTGTGAGTGGTTAGAAAAAGTATACCAGCTGCCAATATGTGACTAAACTGACCCTCATCTTGTGCCATGTATAATCCATGGGAACTTGTGTTGGAGGTTGCAGTATTCTGAGAATGGTGGTTTCAAACTTTTACTCTTCAATTTATAAAGCCTAAAGTAATAAAATATACTAATGTCAATGGGTGGGGATGAAGATGCAAGTAGACACGATCTGGCAGAGCTGTGTTAACAGCAATCCAAGGAATTCCTGGACAGGAAAGGGTGTGTTTGATGCCACTGCATGGCCTTGGGCAGAATGAAGGTCCAAATAACAAAGGCACAGAATAAAAAGCAAGTCCCATGAGCTCACTCTAACTTCCGGTCTTGTTCCTCATGTCCGTACAGCTACTGAATTCCATCGGCAGGGAGGAGTCTGGGTAATCTTAGTCACTTGGATAAGTTTCAATCAACATCAAGCTATATAAAGCAGACTTGGAGGACTTGATGGATACAAAACCTGGAATGTGTTTTTTTATTTTTTTATTTTTGTCTCGCACTTGATAGTGGGCTAGATACTGCCATAAGTCATCTAGAATTTGGTTATTAAAAAGAAATTGTATGGTAGATGCATTTTTTACTGCTCAGCTGTGACCACAAACGTATCTATACTTTGTCTGCAGGCCGTATTACCTGCTGATACAGGGAGTATTGTGCAATAAACACAAGGTGTAGGTACAAACTTTTATCTTAATCTGCACACATGGATATACCTGTCTAAAATGGACAATCTTTGAGAAGGTGATGTTGACCCTCTAAGTAAGCATTCTGGACTCTCTCAATCCTAATTTTAAAATGTTGCCCAGAGAATGGATTTTTCGAGAAGCTAGCTTTTGGATTATTAATAATTTGGTGAACAATTGTAACTTTAGCATTAAAGCTGGAACAGGATGTCTCTTGTGTCTATTGCAGTAGAACTAAAGCAATGTGTGACATTGCTTCACTTGACACCTTGGTATTCTGAGGATAATGTAAAGATGGCCTTTCTAAACCTCCATAACACTTTGCTTAACCGCACTCTCAACTGGAGAGTCGAGGATCAAGGTTCCTGTCCTAGAGAACTAACCAAATGAGTACCTGGGGGTGGAACATCACTGAACCAATGTGCTTGCTCATTACTGGTGACTGGTACAAAGCAGATAAACTTATCAAGAATTAACGCATGTGGACTCTGAAGTCAACCTTTCTATATAGAATTCTTTCCTCTTGCTCTGCCTGTGATTGTCTTGGTCAGAAACTTCCATTAAATCCTCATCTTGAGTCTGTCTGACCTCTTGGACCTAGTTTCCTATGAGAACCAGGACTTCTGCAAATTGCAATGCTGACTACCATACATGTAATCTAGAAAACTTCTCATGATGCCAAAGAGAGCCATCGCTAGTTCCTCAGAATCTTATTCAGAAATTTGGAGAATGTGTTTTATATTGGTGGTTTCCCACCTACATGTGTTTCTGGACTGTAGCTGAAAGATGGTCCGCAGATTGTTTAGGGGTAATTTGTTTTGAGGTGGGGTAAGGTTAATGTCTGAAAGTCTTGTTTAATAATCACATATGATAGATTTAACCAATCAGAAATTTTTATTTTTTCCTTCCCTTTAAAGAGGATTTCTTAAAAGCTGATGCCTCCAAAATGACAGATTTTGTATTAAATAGCTGATTTTTAACTGATGAGAATTGGCTCAAACTGACCATTAACACCATGAAGCACAGCTTTGGAATTAAAATGATGGAAAGTTTCAATCACATCCTTAAAGGGTTAAAACCAAACTCTTAAAGTCCCTCTAACTGGAACCCAGTCGAATATAGGTCTGCTTCTCAAAGTAGCTGATCTTAAAGGTACCAGTTCAACTTGACCCCTGGACAGTGCCACACTAGTCCATAAATGTCTCTAATGGTGCTTAATGCTTGTGATATTAAATACTACTCAAAATGGCTTTAATGGGGCACTGCAGTCTAGTACTCTTTCTCTGTACGCTGAGATTGGGCGTTTCAGATTACCCAGACTGTGCTGGCATGCATATAATCCAGTGTGTACAATGTTCAGTATCCGTTATCTAGATAAATGTAGTATCCCTTTAAACTGACTCTTGAGCAATCCTCTCACCCTGTTTGCAGACTGCATTGTAAGAATGATAACTTTGTTGCCATGTTCTCCACTAAACTTCAATAAAACGACTTGGGAAGTGATCGAGACTTCTATAGTGGTGATAAGATTCCTTGAGGACGTTTACAGACCTTGAAGTCTTTTTATATTTTTATTCATGTCAGCCTGTCTTGAGATTAGTAGAAAGGTCATTACTGCAGGGAAACTATGAAAGGGAAGTCCTGTATCCATTCTCCTCTGCCAGATGTGAGGATGTCCTAAACATTCCAGGGGTTATCTGAATGCGGCATGCACTTCCAGCTTTAACTGCTCCTGAACCCTTTCACTGCCAGTAAGCTTGATAAAACCAGAGCCTATTTAGTCTATCCTGTGGGAGTGTGGCACGTTACGGACACCAAAAGGGGTTAAAGCTCTCTGTAGCAAACCTCTTTTGGGTTGTGTCCACTTCTCTGAGATGTGTCAAACAAGCATTTTAATGCATAAGCCACCAATCTAATCTGCTGCAAACCATAAAATTCTGCTTTTGGCTGTAGTCTAGCCAGTTTGAAATAGGCTACCAAGTGCCATAGGCAGTGCCAAGGGGGCTCAGATTTCTCCCCCTCTCCATTCAGATTGTGTACATTGAGGCTTTGTAGAGTCCTTGATCTGACTTGGTTTTTATGCTTTTCCAAACCACTGAGAGAATAGGATTTCACTGTGTCGAAGGTTTGTTTTTGGAGGGCCCTTGTTCTGTAAGGAAATGGGGCTGGAACCAAGAACTTACACTGCCCCCCCTCCCCATCTCCTTCCCCCAAACCCTGCAGCAGGAGGGAGAGCCAGATTCCTGGCAGGCTGCTTCTTGCTTGTGCTTTCCATATAAGGCCAAAAAATGCTGGAAACTTCAGTGATTAGTGGAGAAGTCTGCTCGCCCATAAGAAGGGGCTTCGTTAGGGGTGGAGATCTAGGGTGGGGGTGGGGCAGTCCTTCAGACCCTCTGACTCAGTCTTCCAAATGTCTTTCCTCCTAGTTTGTTGGCAGCATTAACACTTGTAATGCTGAAAGGGCAGGGACGCAAGTTTATTAATAGCACGCACTCGTTCAGTGGGTGACCTAATCTGAGGTTTAAAGAACATCACAAGAAATGTCTGCAATAACCCCAAACTACATTACAGTAGCTAATGCCCGGTATGTTCTGCACCAACAGGTAAAGCGGTTTAGTTGGTCTGTCTATAAATGCATCCAGATATACACAATACCATCACTACTTCACAAGGCTACCAAGCCACCTGATCACTTTACACATGTGTAGTCCTTCATGATTTATCCTGTCCAATAAAAGTGCAAATGTTTCATTGAATCTAGCATTGTATGGGAGTCTTTAAAAATGAACACTGCTCCCCCTCCCATAGTAAAGGATATTCAACTGCTTGGTTAGATGTAGCACATTACCTAAACAATAAAATTATTTTCTGGAGGTCCTATATAGTCATACCATACACAATGTATCACAATTGGGGAAAGGATTAAATGTCTATAATATGTAGTTTGGTTACACCACTGAAGTTAAAGGATCATAACCAGTTTTGCAAGATTGACCACTTTGAAAAATAAACCTTCAAGTAGTCCATACACTATGGAATCTGGCGATATTATGAACATGTTACTTGGAAAGTTGTCCCTGTGCACATATTTGCACTGTCTATTATGGACCAGAATCTGGGGCAATGATGGCTGTTGTATTGTCCTGGTTTCAAGCATAGGCGAGACTCTTCCAGAACATCCTTTAGATCAGTGGTTCCCAACCCAGTCCTCAAGGCACCCTGACCAGTCCAGGGTTTAGGGATTACCCAGTTGTGTCTAAGGTGTTTTTACAAAGAAGAAAAAAAACACCTTACACACAACTTGGTAATCCTTAAATCCTGGACTGGTCAGGGTGCCTTGAGGACTGGGTTGGGAACCACTGCTTTAGATGAGGCTGTGGCTTGTCATTGTCACAATTTAGCACTGCTTTTTGCTCTCAATAGACAGCAGTAGGGATCAGCCGATATTCTGTATTTTCAGCAATATTGGTATAAACCAATTAAGATACTGATATTGCTGATCATGCAGACAAGGGCTGCCATAAGGGTCCTGGGGGACCCAGTACACACTTGCCTTCCCAGCAGCTCCCTTCAGTTCCCCTGTCTAAATCTTGCGAGTCCCACGGCCGTCAGAGCGTTGCCACAGGTTACATAGGCTGTGATAGTTAGACAGGGGAGCTGAAGGGAAGGTAAGTAAGAGTGTGCTGGCCCCCCAGGGAATGCCATATTTCTCTCCCTCCCCCACTCCCTGGCCAGGTAAGAAGCAGAGGGGGACTAAAATAAAATGCCCCCCGTTTTACACACATTACATACCTACACCAACACACACTCTGCATTCATTATATGCATCCACTACACACATTCTTGAAAATATAAATTGACTGGCATGTATATTTTGTGCATTATCTTAATAAAGATTTGCAAAAAATAAATAATCCTGTGCAGTTGTAGATTTGTGTTGAAATTTATTTTCAAAATGGTAAATGTACAGAATATCAGAACGTTGTCCTGAAAGTTGATCTGTATCTGCTCTTAAAAAATCTGTTGCTTTCCCTAGACAGAGGGTAAGCATGCACATCTTGTAGGTTTTAGTGTCTGCAGGGAGAAGATCTCTTGGGCCAGATTCTCAGATGCACAGTCCATATACGGCTAAAATATCTATTGAGATTGCTTGACTCACAATTCAGCAATCCCAACTGTTTCCTCTATTCTGACCACATAGACCCTTTCCATAAATCCCTGTACTATAGCTGGACTTTCTGGGGGAGCCTGGTCAGAACATTCCTCATGTGCAATGTGGGATGAAATTTTAGAAATATTTAGCAAGAGGTTTTATAACTGAGTTAAATGTTAGATCATCTTTCTGTCCCTTTGTGGGGACATTTAAAGGATTAACATTTTAATGTTTCCGAATGTTGTAGAACTCTGCACTATATTTGCAATCTTAATCCTCACTACAGATATTAAAGAGTGTGGTGTGTTTTTTTAAATAATCTGGAAGCACCCACTGCTGCCATTACCACTTGTGCCAATTTAATGGGAACCCTTGTAGCCAGAAAATATTTTTAGCCGATCACCGAGCAAGAGCTAGCTTACAAGGTTAAGACATCTCCGCGACAAAGTTCCACCAAACTGACTTTTGTTCAAACAATGTTGCTCAGATTGCCATTTAACAAGGACATTAAGGACTAGTATTTAATCAGCCACAGGCCTCCATTGCTAGACACCGCTGCCAATTGCTAAAGCTCTAAATAAATGGTTAAAGGCTTTTCAGTATTTGTTAAATACGATGCCAAATGCAGTGTTGTGAGAACTTTCCATTACTCAAACTTGTAGTTTTGTCCCAACACCGTTGCTAGTACAGTGAGGTTGTTCAGGATTCCTGTAGAAACCTTCAAGCGGCCTGCAGATTTAATGTCCATACTCTTCACGGTCACAGGACTGTTCTTTTGCGACCCTGTCAAACCAATGTGTGGAACTACCTTGGAGGGGATGCGATTGCACCATTAAGTTAAACAGAAATGTAAAGTAAAAAATTGCTGCCATAATGATCCACACGTCTCAAACTATAGACTTTTGAGTTTAAAAATGATTAGAAAAAAATATGGCTGGAAAGCACAGGCCTCCTTTACATTGGAATGTAGTGGGCTTTTTTATGTTCTTTAGCCTGTTTAGTCTACTGAGTCAGAGAATTTCTGTGGTCTGACTCCATATATTGAAGGGATGGTAATCTTTTCTGACTGCAGAGGAAGACCATACTGCGTTCAGCCAGACACTGTATCTTAAGTTAAACAATGTTCTCGAGCAATGCTTGGCTTGACAAACCAGTGGCATCATAATGTTGGCTTGGAGAGCACATGGATTAAAGCATTTTTAATCTTGGTAATTCTATGCAAATGTAGCATTTGAGTAATGGAGCGGATGTGCTTGTTCTCTAATCATGCTCCAGCATTGACGTTTCCAGTAGTGGGCTTCAAAGTATTGGATAGACTCCACTCAATCCAATTCTGGACAATCACACAGAGCATCATTCCATAATTATGGAGGAAAGATGTCTCTAGGACACATGTTGTTGACGAGGAAAAGTGGTCTTTCCATCTTGCAAGTGAATGTTTATGTAAATGTTTTTTTGTAAATTGTCTGTTTGCAAAATTATGGAAAGTCCTGCATCTGATCTCTATAAAACCAGTAAATGTGGTCTAGCCTTTAAAAGCCATGGTTATCTGGCTAGCAATATGGTTCCACCACCCAAACATGACTAAACTGGTCTGTTCTTTACACAACACTTTAGCCATGAGTGCAGTCAAGTAGTGCAAAGTTATAATTAAGATGAGGCTCATAATGTTTGGCTTCTAGACAACTGCAGAAGTAGGTAGGTCCAGGTCTGTCAAAATCTCAAGTAGAGGTTTTATTTGTTTAGAAACAATGTCTTTCAGTGTAGCATGATCTGAAGTCTAATGTGTGGGTATTTTTAATTAGATCTGGATATACATGTTTGTTTGAATCCTGCCAGTTAGAGTTTCAGAATTTTTTTGGACATGCTGTTTTAGAGAATCTAGTGTTAAATTTCCATCATTCTTATGTGTAACACTGGTCAGACTAAACACTCTCCGATCTGTCTTTAGCCTTCAGGAAAAGGCCTGTTCTCATGCTGATCCTGCATTTATCTCTCCCTGATTGGCAGACTGACAACTCACTCATCTGTGCCCCAGTGTCTCATACAGCTTTATTTTTTTGTACAGACTAAAACACTTGGTATGACAATAATATAGGCCAGTCACTGTCCAATTTCGGATAGCATGGCTAATCTTGCTCCTGTGACCGCAGTCAACATGATTAAAATACCTGACATTAAGTGCCAGATTGCAGACTTCAGCTGCTTGGCAGCAATAAGACTGTCTAGATCTGCTTCTGGGGGAAAAAAATATTTAAATTATTCAATCTTAAAGGGACATGAACCATTATTCTTTATAATTCCTGATTCTTTCAAGACAAGGAAGTGTCTTGTACCATACCATAGACATCTATGGGAGTGCCATGAGCCTATACCATAATCCCCAATGCAGACCCTTTTGATAATTATGCTTGAATTCACCTTACAGGACCTTAAATCTTCTTCCAGTGGGAAGGCATTGAAACTAATTTAAATTAAAAAAGAACCAGATTCTAACCTGCATTGTTGAGGTGCCCAGTGTGTCTGTCAACTGTAACTAAACTCTTTATTTCAATAAAGGTCAACAAGAGGTTGTTTAAATTTTCTTTTTGTGTTTTTTCTTTTGCAGACAGTAAAGCCATTGTTGATGGAAACCTCAAGCTCATCCTGGGTCTCATCTGGACCCTCATTCTGCACTATTCCATCTCCATGCCTATGTGGGATGAGGAAGAGGATGAAGAGGTCAAGAAGCAGACTCCAAAACAGAGGCTATTGGGATGGATCCAGAACAAGCTTCCTCAGCTGCCAGTCACAAACTTCAGCAGGGACTGGCAAAGTGGCCGAGCTCTGGGTGCCCTTGTGGACAGCTGTGCTCCTGGTAAGCATGTTTGCAGTTTTTTTTTTTTAGCTGCACTACAACCGGGCTTTGTGCTATAGTAACCGTGTGATCAGTCTTGGTTTATAATCTAGTTCTGGGACACTTATGCAACTTGCAGTTCATATCTCATTACATTTTCTTTGAGGCCAAGAGACGTTGTCACTTAAAGGTGGCACAAGGGAAACTTAAGATCCCCACTAAATGTTAAGATTGCGTAGTCATTAAATTGGTATAATCACAGATATGCCCAGAACACAATTGTAGGATTTATCCTGGTGAAGGGCAAAGGTTAAACTAAATATACAGTACAAAACTAAAAATTAAGCACTAACAAAGTTCTCTGTTCAGCAGTGGCAACAACCTGCCAAGTTTTCCTCTTGGCTGTAATCCTTTTTAACAATTTGTAGGTAGTTGCGCTTTAAACTGCTGAATATGCAAAGTAAAACAACCTATGGTTCTAGCCTGTTCTAAAATTTAGTCGTCTTCTTCCAGGTCTCTGCCCAGACTGGGACTCCTGGGATGCTAGCAAGCCTGTGGACAATGCACGTGAAGCCATGCAACAAGCCGATGACTGGCTGGGAATTCCTCAGGTAAGTGGCCCAGCTACATATATACACCAGTCTTCTCTTTACGGTTTGCATACTGCGTGCTTCCAATATGGGCTACAAACAGTAGCTGGTTAAAACCTGCTAATTGACTAATCTTAGTGTAATCTCAGAAGCCACTTCCTGCCTTTGTTCTGTGTAATTGGTAGACTACTTTTGGGCTCTGTCAATGTGTAGCTCGGCTTCATTTAAAGGAAGATCTTAATGTTTTCTATAGTGTTTAAATGCAGGAATCTACCTTTAGTATAGATTCTAAAGTGCTTGAAATAAAATTCCCTAAAATATATGTGCAGAGGTCCTGGGTGTCTTTAGCTTTTGCTCCAAACTATAGGAGCAGGCTAGAAGGACATGAACGAGGAATGTTTTTAACTTTTATACCAATACTGTATTTGTTCCAAACTTGCATCGACACTCCTGGGTGCCATCTCAACTGTAAATTGTTCTGCTAAAGTACTTGAACATGGGTCTTGAGGCAGAACCAAAATTACGTTACTTGCAACCATATTGAGACTAACAAACGAAAACTTAATGTTAACAAATTAAACTTTTAATGGAAAGATTGGACTTGAACAAGTGGTGGAACCAGATGGTGTCTGTATAGATTTTGCATATCCTTTCCATTGGGTGTAATTGGAGATGGGAGAATTAACAAGTGCCATATTTGCTCAATAACTTTTATTGATGACATTGGCTTATGAATAGTGTGCCCTCTAGATAATCCAACAGCTGAATTCAGTTTATCTACTATTCCCTTTCTTGCAGGTGATCACTCCAGAAGAAATTGTGGATCCCAATGTAGATGAGCACTCTGTCATGACCTACTTGTCTCAGTTCCCTAAAGCCAAGCTGAAACCTGGTGCTCCCCTCAGACCAAAACTCAACCCCAAGAAAGCAAGAGCCTACGGGCCAGGTAAGTTTTTTGACTAAAGTCAGAAGTCCATGGAAGTACTGGCTATGGTAGAACATATTAAAAGCCTGGAAACTAACTTCTTCCTAATTCCAGGTATCGAGCCAACTGGTAACATGGTGAAGAAGCGAGCTGAATTCACAGTGGAAACAATCAGTGCTGGAATGGGGGAAGTTCTCGTTTATGTGGAAGATCCTGCCGGGCACAGAGAGGAGGTAGTTAGAATGGATAATGAGTTTATCTTGGCTTTGGCACTATCTAGTATGATCCAAATCACTAAAGCAGTGGGCATGGCTGGGGTCAAATGAGCCATTCAATGAGTGACTCACCAACTGGTTTATCTTCTAATGTACACTTATCAATTTCCTTTTTAGGCCAAAGTCACCGCCAATAATGATAAAAACAGAACATTCTCCGTCTACTATATCCCCAAAGTTACTGGAATGCACAAGGTGAGTTTCCTTTAATCCAGTAGGATGTCATCCAGACCAATTAATTTCTCCAGTGATTAAAATGTTAAAGCAATTTTCTATAAAAAGGAAACTCCGATGAAGACCAAATAAGTTAAGTAGACTATTTGGTCTAGAACACTAAGTTTATTTTCCTTCTTTGGTTTAATGTCCTCTGAATACTGGCTGACCTATGCTTTGTAAAGATCCTGAGACTTGACATTCTAATTTGTATTCCCCCCCCCCTCCACCCAATAGGTGACTGTTCTGTTTGCTGGGCAGCACATTGCAAAGAGTCCATTCGAAGTGAACGTTGATAAATCTCATGGGGATGCCAGCAAAGTGACCGCTCAGGGTCCTGGCCTCGAGCCCAGCGGAAACATTGCAAATAAAACAACCTACTTTGAGATCTTCACTGCAGGTGCGTGGGCTGGCTGGATGAAAGGGGTGTCCTACTGAAGGATCTATCAGTATGCTTTGTTGGGCTGGTCTGAGTCGGCAGCAGCTGGTGTGACTTGCACGTGGCAGTGTAAATAGCTGAAAATCCCCCGTTACATGTAGCCAATTTTTATCAGACTTCTCAATCAGGCACATTTGTCTCCATTAACTGATCTGAGCAAGCAGCTGCTCTCCTGGAAAAACTAGTAATGGAAAAGGTGAATTGGTGTAGTCCTTCTATATTTGTTTGTATTATGAAAGTTGATACACTTCCCAAAAGGAAATATTTAATATAGAATGCAATTTGAGGTCCATGGAACACTGACACACCAGTGTTGAATCTGATTTAGGATGTGGAGCAACTGTCAGACTACTTTCCCTAGCAACGTCTCTTTTTAGAACTTTAAATTGCTTGTGGACCCTAGGCCTCGTGAGGGTTAAAATTCTGCAACTATCTGGGAAATATATATATATATATATATATATATATATATATATATATATATATATATATATATATATATATATATATATATATATATATATATATATATTTTTTTTTTTTTTTTAAATGCATGTTTTTCTGTGCAGGTGCTGGTGTCGGTGAGGTGGAAGTAATTGTTCAAGACCCTAATGGCAAAAAGGATACATCTGAAGTTCTTTTGGAGGATAAAGGCAGCAGCACCTACCGTTGCACCTATAAACCCACCATTGAAGGGGTGTATACCATCTATATAACTTTTGCTGGGGTGCCAATTCCAAAGAGCCCTTACACGGTCACCATTGGTCAAGGTAAGTCCTCTTAATTAGTACAATCTGCCCTGTTCTGAATTGGTGTGGGTGGCTTCTACTTTATTAGGAACGTGGTGTTTGCCCACATGCTTTACATTGTAAAGGAAAAAGGCTGAACTGGATAGTCTCCCTTGGCAGACCACAAGTGTAACTTGCACTTTAGTGTCACCTCTACAGTGCTTCGGAGTACATGGCGAGCTCAGAAATTATGCACCTGTAACAATTCAGTGTAAATGGTGAAAGGACTCAAAGCCACTTTATTTTATTTTTCTTCCTACTTCTTGACTTAAACTTGCAGGCTATGAGAAGCTGTGGTAGATGCAGGCAATTACTGCTGATGTCGCTGTAAGATTCAAAGTAACTAGGTCTGGCTATAGAATGTAAAGTCCTTTAAAATAGAAGTCTGGAACATTGTAAAGTTATTCTGACTCTCTCTATACTGGAGATTCAGATTCCAAGCAGCAGTCTAGAAAGATTGGGGTGTTCACAAATACCTGAATACACCCCTTAAGAGCTATAAAACTTTACTGTTTGGCTAAATGGCCTAAACTGAGTCATGTGGTGGTCCATGAATCCAGTCTTTGTAAACAAGCTCCAATGTTCTAGAACGATGCATAAACAATCAGGTGTTGAGTGTCCTTTTTGAAGTGGGGCATCTCAGCAGCATATCTGGATCAAGCCACCGTTGCTTCTAAATTTCTGTATAAAACTTCATGTGCAAGCCTAGCCTCTCTTGCAAACTACCTTTCCTTGTTCTTGATGTATTTCTCTTGCTTTAAGATTCTTGCACTTCCTTTTTGTATCTCATCTCCTTTTCTCTCATGCTTCAATCTCTGGAAAGTGGTCAGCTTCCTGGACCTCTGTCTCCTTTCTAACTTGGGAAAGCTGGACTTGGATTGCTTTACGGTACATGTGCATGCAATGTGTTTGGGTGGAAACCTTTTTTCCCTAAATCACCACTAAAGGGGTTTGAAAGCATCTAGACTGTACATGTCGCCCTATTTGGGTAGCTGTATTTCGCCTTAATACTGGAAGAAGTTTTAATGTCTGGCAGTATTCTCAAACAAGCATGCATGTTTTTTGGGTTTGTTCTTGGCAGTTTGCCATCTAAAGTTTTGGGATAACTCGCTAGCTGTAATCCTTAAAGCATGTCTTGTGAAGTCTGCTATTGAATAATATGTAAAGAATTCATTCCACTGTCTAGTAATCATCATACATTTCCTTATTTAGTAGTCACTTTTATTTAAATGTCTTTGACTTGCTCAGTACTTCAGACTACTAAAACTTTATTTATCTTCAGCGTGCAACCCCAATGTTTGTCTAGCAGTGGGTCGTGGCTTGCAACCCAAGGGCGTACGTGTTAAGGAAACTGCAGACTTCAAGGTCTACACAAAAGGCGCTGGAAGTGGAGAACTGAAGGTCGTTGTGAAGGGACCAAGTGAGTGACTATTTGATTTGGTTAAAATCTATGAAAGACTGACTTTTGAACTTCAGACAAACCATTCAAATGTCTCTGCTTCCCCAAAACAGATTTTTTGAATTTAAGAACTACTGAACACTGTCAACATAGGCCAAAAAACAAACTATCAATAGTGCCGCTTCCATTTCAAGAAACTGGTTCTCTTTACACTGGTAAACTAGAAATGAAACCGGCTTTAAAAACAGAGTAGAACTATGAATTTTCCTTCTTTCCATGTAACTTTACCACTTAGAGGGCTTTGTCTCCAATTTGTTAATCTGCAATCTTCTTCTCCAGAGGGTACAGAAGAACGTGTTAAACAAAAAGACCTAGGTGATGGCATCTACTACTTTGAATATTATCCAACTGCCCCTGGAAACTACACTGTTACAATCACCTGGGGCGGTCAGAATATTCCCAGAAGGTGAGCTTCTTGACTTCTGTCTGGATGATGACCTAGAGGAAGATTATTTTTTGTTGAACTAACATCTTTGTTCTTAGTCCATTTGAGGTGAAGGTTGGCTCAGAGTGTGGACCACAGAAGGTACGTGCATGGGGACCTGGTCTTGAAGGAGGAGTTGTTGGGAAATCTGCTGACTTTGTCGTAGAGGCTATTGGCGATGATGTGGGAACTCTCGGTGAGTAGGTGCAATATATGTAGGGTAACAAAGTTAATTGCACACATAAACGGTCTTCTAACTTTGAATATGACCGTGAAATACAATGAATGGCTGGCTAATATGCATGCACTAATGGGCTGATCTTTTCTCTGTAGGCTTCTCAGTGGAAGGTCCATCTCAGGCAAAGATTGAATGTGATGACAAAGGTGATGGGTCATGCGATGTTCGCTACTGGCCACTTGAAGCTGGAGAATATGCTGTACATGTACTCTGCAACAATGAGGACATTAAGTTGAGCCCCTTCATGGCTGAAATAAAGCCAGCCCCCAAAGACTTCTTCCCAGAGAAGGTAATGACTGGACAAAATACTCAGTCTGTTTCCTCTGCTTACTGGAGTAAAGCCTTCTAGCATATTTATATATCTTTTAGACTTTAGGTTATACAGTAAAATTCTCATGCAAAGCCTTCTCCTTCCTCCATTTAAGGTAAAGGCATATGGACCTGGATTGGAGAAGACTGGATTGGCCATTAACAAACCAGCAGAATTTACTGTTGATGCCAAGCTTGGTGGTAAGGCACCACTCAAGGTGTCTGTACAGGTATGTGCGTTTGTCATATTCTAGTCATGTAACATCAAGATTTGACAAGAACAGTTCTCAGTTTCATGTTCTCTATCCTCAGGATTCTGAGGGAACCCCAGTAGATGTAATCACAAAAGATAATGGAAACGGAACATACAGCTGCACTTACCAGCCAAAGAAGCCATTGAAACACACTGCAGTAGTGTCTTGGGGAGGGGTTAACATTCCAAACAGCCCCTTCAGGGTAAGGCCATGTCACTATACACCACACTATCAAAGGATTATTTATCATGTTTATGCATACTGAGAGCAAGATGGCACTTGACCTGTAGAATTTGTCTTAAAACAAAATGCTGCAGACTATATAAATGGAAACTAAAGATTTTTTTTCCTATGGCTTTTAGATGACCATTGGTGCTGGAAGTCATCCCAACAAGGTGAAGGTGTATGGCCCAGGTGTTGCAAAGACTGGCCTGAAGGCACACGAGCCCACCTATTTTACTGTGGATTGTACAGAAGCTGGACAAGGTGGGTTAACTAATCAAAACTTACGCCTAAGCTGGAGTCTAAAGAAACCTGAACACTGTCTTACTGATATTTCTTCATCTGTTAGGTGATGTCAGCATTGGTATAAAGTGTGCCCCAGGTGTTGTGGGCCCTGCAGAAGCTGATATAGACTTTGACATCATTCGCAATGATAACGACACATTCACTGTGAAATACACTCCACCAGGAGCTGGAAGTTACACAATCATGGTTCTGTTTGCTAACCAGGTGACTTTAATTTTTCATTTCATTTTGGCACTTGATACTTATTGCTGCCAAATCTTTATGGTGTGTGATTAAATTTTTTTTTTTTTGTACATGTGGAGAGTCTTTTAAACTACTGCAAAGAACAAAAAATCTTTGCGTAATTTACTTCCTGGGAACTATAAAGAGAAGCATGATTCCCTTCATTAAGGGTTTGCCTGAAATTATGGCTTTTTCTGAAACCGCCAGTTCACTTTGTGATCCAGAAGAGACTTGCTCAGACATGCACATGGAGCACTCAAGATATTCTGTTACCAGACAAAAAGGCAGAGCAGTATTACGTGCACTGAAAAGACCTTATCCTGTGTCCTGGTAAACAATTATGACTTCCCTGTACCTTTAGCAGCATTTGTATTGCTAACTTCTAACTATGCAAGGTCCTTTTTGACACTTCCATGAGGGCTTCCAAAAACGTGCATTAAACAATGTTGCACTGTGCTTGGTGACTTACTAGACTCTCATCTCCTAGACTCTTACCCAAAATTTAAGCTAGGTTATGAATTCTCTGCTTTAGAAAGCCTTATGTGGAATCTCAGAATATAACTTTATAGTAACTTATATTTCCCTCTTCAGACCACACCAATGAGTCCAATCCGCATCAAGGTTGACCCATCACATGACGCAAGCAAAGTAAAGGCAGATGGTCCTGGACTGAATAAGAGTGGTAAGTAGTCATGTAGGAGTGGCTGTCTAAAACTTTGCACATCATCCACCGCTCTAGAATCCTCGATCCTTGCATTGGTTTGACTTTGTGCTGGTATCTCTGTAGGCATTGACTTTTGTATGGTTGTTTATATTTTGACTAGGTGTCGAGATTGGAAAGCCTACCCATTTCACTGTAAACACAAAGGCTGCTGGCAAAGCCAAACTAGATGTACAGTTTACTGGACCTGCCAAAGGAGATGCTGTGAAGGATGTGGATGTCATTGATAATCATGACAACTCCTACACTGTCAAATACACACCTGTGCAACAGGTAACTCACTTAAACTTTGTGTGATTTGTGTATCTTTTTTTTTCCCCAACAGTTACACTTTAAAAAAAAAAAACCCACTGGCAACAAGTCATTTGCAATATGCTCTTAAAAACGATCTCATAACCTCTGTATCATGCTGAAACTCTCCTCATGAGCTCTCAAACCCATTCCTGGAATTTCAGAAATATAAATTTATTTTTTTCCCTTTTCCAGGGTAACTTGGGTGTGAATGTGACTTATGGAGGTGATCATATTCCCAAGAGTCCATTCCCAGTCAGCATTGCCCCAACACTGGACCTCAGCAAGATCAAAGTTTCTGGACTTGGAGACAGTATGTATTTTTTTTTTTATTTTTTTGCTTCCAATTCTAGTCTCTCTAAATTGTATGTGGATTAAGCTTGATTCTCTATAGTGATAGGCAATGTATGCAAAACTTGTAAAGAACAACTTAACTGCAAGAGATCTAGGCTTTATTGTACAGTTTTCTTGCTTTACCCCTCTGCAGTGTTTCTAAAGATGTTGTACCATCATGCATAGACTGGTACAAAACTTTGTTTTGCCTTTGTTCTCTTCCCCTCTCCAGAAGTAGAGGTTGGCAAGGATCAGGAGTTCACCGTAAAATCCAAAGGTGCAGGGGGACAGGGCAAAGTAGCTTCCAAAATCACAAGCCCATCTGGCAAGGCTGTTCCTTGCAAAGTGGAGCAAGGTTTGAGCCCTGATAACAGCACGGTCAAATTTATCCCTCGAGAGGAAGGTCCATATGAAGTGGAGGTGACCTATGATGGTGTTCCAGTTCCTGGCAGCCCATTTCCTGTAGAAGGAGTTCCTCCAACAAACCCCTCAAAGGTACAGAAAAGTCTTGTCTAACTGTTTATACCTTGTAGAACCAACATTTTGCTTAGTCCTTGCCATGACTCATCAGACTTCTAGATGGAGTTTCTAAAAGTATACTTGTGATGGCTTGGCTTTCCAGGAAATGGCTATAGTTATACAATCACCATCTTTATGGTCTCTTGTGTGGGTTTTAATTCTCCAGCTGTACATAATGTTGCTCTACTTGCAGGTTAAGGCTTTTGGGCCTGGGCTAAAAGGAGGCAATGTTGGTGCCCCAGCCCCATTCACCATTGATACCAAAGGAGCTGGGCTTGGAGGCCTTGGTCTGACTGTGGAAGGACCATGTGAGGCAAAGATTGAATGTCTAGACAATGGTGATGGTACATGCTCTGTGTCTTACCTGCCAACGGAGCATGGAGACTACAACATCAACATTCTGTTTGCTGACACCCACATTCCTGGATCGCCTTTCAAGGCAAAGATTGAGCCTTGCTTTGACCCTTCCAAGGTGACTTGCTCTGGCCCAGGTTTGGAACATGCTCAGGTTGGGGAAGCTGGCAAATTTAATGTGGACTGCTCCAATGCTGGCAGTGCCGAGCTGACAATTGAGATTATATCTGACACTGGAATGCAGGCAGAAGTCCATATACAGGACAATGGAGATGGAACCTACACCATTACCTACATCCCACTATACCCAGGAATCTATACCATCACTATAAAGTATGGCGGACAAATGGTTCCCAACTTCCCCAGCAAACTGCAGGTCAAGCCAGCTGTAGATACTTCTGGAATAAAAGTCTATGGGCCTGGAGTGGAGGGAAAAGGTAGGTTTTTATTTGACTTGTATAACCTTTCAGGTGGATTTTGCTGGACTACAAGACCTAAACCTGTAACTGCTTATTCTCCCAGGTGTATTCAGAGAAGCCACTACAGACTTTAATGTTGATGCACGTGCTTTGACCAAAACTGGAGGTCCCCATCTTAAAACCAGGGTATCTAATCCATCTGGCAACTTCACAGATGCATTTGTGCAGGATAATGGGGATGGCACCTATAAAGTGGAATACACTCCTTATGAGGAAGGTTGGTAGTTCTGTTTCTATGTAGTCTGTGGGAAATTAAAGCATTGTATTAAGTTAACTTGGCAAGATTACATCTGTTATAGCTTGTATTGATAAAATATTATATTTGCAAATAAAAACTTATTTCTCTAGTTATTCTCCTGGCAGTCAGTCCTTTTATAGAAGGAGTTTTGTCCAATACAGGTCTAAAGTTGAACTTATCCCACTTTCTATAGGGATCCATTCTGTTGATGTAACTTATGATGGAAGCCCTGCACCCAAAAGCCCCTTCAGGGTTCCTATTACTGAAGGCTGTGATCCAACTAGAGTCAGAGTTCATGGTCCTGGGATCCAGAGTGGAACCACAAACAAGCCAAATAAATTCACAGTGGAAACCAGGTAACTAAAATAATCAATACCTCTAGTTTGCATTACAAATACATTTCTCTATACTTTCCTTTTTTCTTTTGGAATGTGCTTCACAGCCTTGCTTTTCTGCTGTTCAGTTATGTTCAGAGAGCATGTTGTAGTACTGGTCTCCTCCAAATAAAACATCACTACAAAATGCAAGGTCCTAGTAGATGGAACTTCATCATTTTCTGTCTTCATATGAATGCCTTTATTTTTAGGGGTGCTGGCACTGGAGGACTTGGTCTGGCTGTTGAGGGTCCATCAGAGGCAAAGATGTCCTGTACAGATAACAAGGATGGCAGTTGTTCAGTAGAATACATCCCATATGAGCCTGGTACTTACAGCTTAAATGTCACCTATGGTGGACATCAAGTTCCAGGTAAGGCTTGTGTTCTGAGAACTGGGAAACCTGTCGACACTTAAATGTTTATAATGGCATTTAATCTTTGGGAAGTTCTCTCTAAAAGGTAACAAAACATAGACCTCTTCTGAATAATTGTTTTCACTTTGCAGGTAGTCCCTTCAAGGTTCCAGTTAATGATGTAATTGACAGCTCTAAGGTGAAGTGTTCTGGTCCAGGACTCCAACCTGGGTTGGTTAGAGCAAATGTCCCACAGTCCTTCAGTGTAGACACAAGCAAGGCTGGTGTTGCTCCTCTACAAGTCAAAGTTCAAGGCCCAAAAGGTAAGCTGGAATTTAAACTATTCAGAGGTTTGGTTAGATTAAGAATATGGTTCTCAAGTACATAACTGGTTGCTGTAAAATGCATTTAATCTAAAATACACTCTGCAATGAATTCACAAACCATCCAGTATCTTAAGACTCCAGCAGGAAAAGTACTAAATATATATGCTCATCTAACGGTGTTCCTTTACCACCTGTTTAGGCATTGTAGAACCTGTAGAAATTGTGGACAATGGTGATGGAGTCCAGACTGTGAATTATGTTCCAAGCCGCGAAGGACCCTATAACATTGCTGTTCTCTATGGAGATGAAGAGATACCCCGCAGGTAAAAATCTTGTGGTAGAAAACCTGAACTAAATGTAATAGTCAAGCACTGGAGTCTTGATTTAGTGTATGAAAGTTCTGGACACAAACTCAACATGGTAAACTTGAAGACTCATGTTCTTACTTTTCCAGTCCTTTCAAGGTAAAGGTCTTACCAACTCATGATGCCAGCAAGGTGAAGGCAAGTGGACCAGGGTTGAATACAACTGGGGTACCTGCCAGCCTGCCCGTGGAGTTTACAATTGATGCAAAGGATGCTGGAGAAGGCCTTCTTGCTGTTCAGATCACTGTGAGTCTCATTCCATTCCAGTGTTGGCTGATAAACAGGCAGTCTGCTCCACAAATGCTCACTTTTTTTTTAACCTACAGGATCCAGAAGGCAAGCCTAAGAAAGCCACTATACGTGACAACCAAGATGGCACCTATACAGTGTCCTATGTACCGGATATGACTGGCCGTTACACTATCCTCATTAAGTATGGAGGCGATGAGATTCCTTATTCTCCTTATCGCATCCGTGCTGTTCCCACAGGAGACGCCAGCAAGTGCACGGTTACAGGTAAGCGGTTCTCAGGTTGCTTTGTTGGAAAGGTATTCCACACTTCCTTACAATTAACAGGTGCATATAAACTATACACCGTTGCAAGAACATTGTGTTCAAACTGACAACCTTGTGGTAGCTGTTTGTAATGCTTTAAGACTTGCCATTGCTGCTGGCAAGGCCAGAATAGGAACTTAATGCCATATAACTGTTCTACAGGACCCAACGTTAAACACTAGTCAACCAGTATTAACCTGTCACGTAGGGCTGTAATGTCTCTAGGTCTGCCCTGTATTGTTAGTAGAAGTAATTACTCCAGCTCTTCAGGTTTTATACAAACTTGATAACCCTTTTTGTTTAAAAAAAGTCCCTTGTGTAACTGAATGGACCCCTTTCTTCCTCCCCCCCCCCACGATGAAAGCCTGACTTCAGATGTGTGGAGATAAATCTTGAGGAAACCATATTGGTCTGTTACTGCTGACTATTTTCTATAGGAAAGTTATTTTGTTTTAGATGGCCTGTTTGTAAAACAAAACACACAGAATTGAGCTATAGGATGTGGAGTTTTTTGGCTTTTTTTACAATGCTAAATACTACAACAGACCATAAAACCATTTTAAGGATGACTGCTCCATGTAACATTATTTTGGTAACCGTGCACAGACCTCTTAATGGCTTATCAAATTTTTTATTTTATTTTTTATTTTGAGGCATTATTGGCACAGGTAACTTTATATTGTGTGGCTGCCCTATAGTGTTCAATCAATGACTACATATCCCATACCACAGGAAGTGGTCCAACTGTGTCGAACAGTCTGGAAACCTCCATAATTCTATTAGGGCTGAGCGTGGAATGCCTTAAGTTTCCGAACAATTTGCTCTTTTCACACACGCTTTTTGACGTACTCTCTCCCCAGCACTGCACACTGTTTATGGCATAACACGTCATGATACAAATGGTCTTTCTGAGATTTTAGTTATGCACTTTTTGTTACCCTCACATTGTCACTTTGTCTCACTTGACCTTTCCTTGCTCTTTGCCCTTTCACCTCAGTGTCAATCGGAGGTCACGGGCTAGGTAAGCCGCTTGCTTGTTAAATGAACCTTCTCTTTTGCTCCCGGTTTCTTTAAAACTTTGTTAAATGTGAAGCCTTTTTGCCTGCTGACTGGTATCTTCATTGCGCTGCGGTTTCTTGCAATGAAGTCCTGTTGTGGGGAAATTCACAGCTGTATTGTAACTGGCTTGTTGGACATCTAAATTAATATTGTCAGAACGGTTTCCTCAGGCGCCACCTAGGAAACTATAAAAGTAGAACTTTTACCTGCATCTCTAAAACAAAGTAAACTCTTGGTATAGTATTCATTAATCTCCCATCACAAAGTCAAACTTTAAGAAGGCAAAAGCATCTCAAATGTTGAAATTGCTAAATGGATCTGTTTCTTGGGGTCTTAGCCTTAAACATATTTGCAATTGGCAAACTGCCCAATATCCTAGATCATTCCTTAGTGATGTCCTTCAAATTAAGGGTTTTTACTTAACGGCTGTGAACAGACCCAAAACTTTTCAAGGACTCTGTAAAAATGTGGTGGACTTTGCATGTTTAAAATGAACCTTTACTAATTCATTTGACTCTCTTGATAAGGGCATCAACTGTTGACACAAACTTCAATTTGTAAGGTTCTGTAGGCACCTTAATAGGAGGCCCCATTACCTTGGGTAAATACTGGACTGGTTTGGAAACCACTGACCTAGACCTTAAGATTCAGACATGTAATCTAGAAAAACATTTTTAAACTAGTGGCCTTTGCAGAGCTACAGAAGAATGCATCACATGGATGGGTCCTAGTATAAAGGTGAATGGCTTAGTTTGCTGGGAAACTAAAACCTACCTCACTAATGTGATGAATGTAGAGTTATAGAACTTCCAATCACTTAATTAGTCTCTGGAGACACATACATTGCTTGCAAGGAAAGCAGCTTGAACAGTAGGATGAATATTGGCCATTGTGCCTGGTTTGCATTACTGGGCTGAGAGGTTTAAGTGTCTACTAGGCTAGGACACAAGTCATACTTGTTCACTTCTCTTCAACTTGCTTTTAATTCCATTGCCATAGTCTACAGTCAAGCTCATTACATGATGTTGGTGTATCCATAGCTTACAATAAATTCCAATGTCCACATTTGAATTTTGGATCACAATTCTAAACAGGACTAGGTTGTCCTTGGCGTAAGGTTTCTCCAACTTTGCAACTGTTAGTCATTTGAAGAAAAATCCAGACAACTCTTAACATTTCCCTTTTGAGAAGTAAAATTGATGGAACTTGATCCCTCTTTCCTTACTGCATGTTTGCTCTGTATGGCTTCCCACTTACCAACCTTTCCCAATCCCTAGTCTCTCCTCTTAACTTCACTAGACCTGCACCTTCCCACTCTTCATTGCTTGCGCATAAAGTCCTTGCAGGGATCTCAGTCCATCAGGAAATGTAAACTGCACTCCCATAGCTTCACATGTCACTGGTTCACCTTGGTGCACATGAGCAGCAGAGTGTTTATGAATACTCTTGCTGATGCCATCACAATAGAAAAATGGCAATCGACAAACATTAATGCCTGCTGTAAACTATTAGACGTATGCAAAGCATGTATGTTCTTTGCACCTGTAAACTTCTGCAAATGGTTAACCGGGCAAAAGCTATACTTTGCTTCAGTGTTGGAGGGCAGCGAGGCACTCATACGTTTTTGATGACTTAACCTGGTTGTGTTCTAGCACATCTGACTCAAAGTATTCCACCCCTAGAACTCTGTTGTGCTGTTAATGGTCAGAGGTCTCTTTAAGGACTCAGTACTATCCCTACTTAAAAGGAGCCTTTGGGAAATCCTAAGAACCTTTTGATATTTCCTGAGAACTGAGGCTTCTGCAGAACAATTAAACTTGGCTGTGAATGTGGAACTGGCTGCATGTCTGGCATGAAACTTGATGTTCAGCAACTGATCGGGTGACCGTTCTTTTGTTGCATTGTCTCTTCCTTCATTTCGGTATCCTGCAGGTGCTGGCGTTGGACCCACTATTCAGATTGGTGAAGAGACGGTTATAACTGTTGATGCAAAGGCAGCAGGGAAGGGTAAAGTGACATGCAGTGTGTGCACGCCCGATGGCACAGAGGTGGATGTAGATGTTGTGGAGAATGAAGATGGCACATTTGACATCTTCTATACAGCCCCCCAACCTGGAAAATATGTCATCTGTGTGCGCTTTGGAGGAGAGCATATTCCCAACAGCCCATTCCAGGTTACGGTAAGTTTGAACCCATGGTCTTTAAATTTTTGTCTTTGTTTTAATTATTGTCCTGCTACTTGGACCCTACCTAAGATTTAAATCTGTGTATTGCTTAATCACATTGAATTGCATTATATTGTAACTTTACATTTTTGTTACTGTGTAAAGGATAAAATATTGAAAGGCATTTCTGTGGGTCAATATGAATGTGCAGCTATGGTATTTAGTTTGTCGCACCATATCTGGATAGGTGTGGATTTCAGGCACTGGCTATCGATAGTTAATGTAAGAATGTCCCTTGGTTCCTCCCCCCTCTTAAGGTAACTTCAGAAAAATCTGGACTCAAGTCTCTTGAAATATGGTGGTCATTTGGATAGTTCTTTCTTGGTATATTTTAGTCTTGTAGAATTTAAACTAACTTATGCTTACACCTCCAACGCAGGCTCTGGACGGCGAACAAATGATGCCTCAGCAGATGGTTCCACAGCAATTAGCCCCATCTTACGCATACCCGGGCATGCAGCAACCCTGGGTACCCTACATTTAACTGTAACTGTAACCTGTTGGGGGAAAATGTTCTTCCAGGGGCATTATGTGATGTGGAAGAAACTCTGGAATTCAGTACTCACAACCATTGTTTTCTGCAAAATGTTCTAGCTTCTGAAAATCTGTGGGCTTTTGGGGGATGCTTTTGCTTATTGGGATGAACCCTTTGGGACACAATGTAATTATCTCAAAGGGTTATGTGGTAGGGTAAGCATACAGTGCTTTCTTTAGTTTAGTGGATTGTTGGGATCCTTGGTATCTTTGCTTGGTTTATTCATGGTAGGACTTCTGCATGATCTCACACAAGTGAATGCCTTGTAGAGTGGCACACTTAAAAAGATAAACCTCAAAGCATGTTGCTTCTAGTCATATAAGCTTCGGAATGCCTCACTTTGACTCTGCCATTGTGAATTACTACTATGAATTCCAAAGATCCTTCCCTAATCATAATGCCTTGGACATGGACTTTCCCTCAGCCGCTTCTGGCCTCTTAAATTTGGGGTCAAGGGGAGGGGGAGATGATGGGTTCCACCTCTGTCCATTCTTAAATTCCAGATGTCTGCCATCTTGCCATTCTCTTCTCATTACCATTTGATGTCTACTTCCCCATAAAGTACACCCGTCTTTCATATTTTCATATGGCCACCACTTGTGACCCGATGTAACTTCTGTGGGCCTCTTAATTGTTCGTGTGATCATTGTGTATTAGTCTCTTGCAGAATTCATTTGTCCTAGGTTTGCCAATTTATTTTGGATAAACTAACTGCAAAGACTCTTCATTTTCATATTTTACATGTCTTGTGTATCCATTTCTAAAACCAAACTTCGCTGCTGGTTCCAAGCTGTTGTGAGGCATAGCACTATAAAATGCTGCTCTCTAGGCTCTTAAGGCTCATGTCTTTCCAAAAAATTATTCTGATATTTGAAAACTTGAATCTAGTTTTCAAACCTTACACTGAAGATGAAACTAATTTATTTTATTTTTATACAAAGATACCAGACAGCCACAGTATAATCCTCCAGCGGAGTTTAGGTTTGTTTTTTTTCTGTTGACTGATGTCCCTCTTATCTATTGATTTATTCTCTACTTGAATAGCTGTTTAATAGCCACTTTTCTTTTTAGGCTACTGACCGTCCTGTTATGGGAGTGAATGGTCTTGATGTTGCAGGACTAAGACCTTTTGATCTGGTCATTCCTTTCACGATAAAAAAAGGAGAAATCACAGGTAACTTAAAGAGTTGTATAAACAGATGGTTTTGCCCATTAAATGTGTGGATGAAAAGTATTTAAAACAAAGCGACTTCTTACAATCTAAACTACTGTATCATTAATGCAGGAGAAGTTCGTATGCCATCTGGCAAAGTGGCAAAGCCTGATATCACAGACAACAAAGATGGTACGGTCACTGTGAGATATGCCCCTACCGAAGCTGGCTTGCATGAGATGGACATAAAATATGACCACATGCACATCCCAGGTATTTTTCCTTTGCTGCTAATCAAAAGAGCTGGTTCTTAAACTGCATATGAATGTAGTGCTCGTCAAAGACTTGTTTGAGGCTGGGGAGGTCTCGCTTTAAACGTTCTAGATAACCTAACTGGTCAGCAGACTAAATACTTTGTGTTTTTTTTGTTTGTTTTTTTTATAGGAAGCCCACTGCAGTTCTATGTGGATTATGTCAACAGCGGGCACGTAACTGCCTATGGTCCAGGTCTTATTCATGGCACTGTCCATAAACCAGCAGTCTTCACAGTCAACACAAAGGATGCTGGTGAAGGTGAGATGAGTAGGTTGGCTTGAGGTATTAGTCTGCATGGCTTGCCAGAGTTGGCATTGACTATTGCTGTATCCTAGGTGGCTTGTCACTTGCCATTGAGGGCCCCTCCAAAGCCGAAATCAGCTGTACAGACAACCAGGATGGAACATGCACAGTCTCCTATCTCCCAGTGCTGCCTGGTGACTACAACATTCTTGTCAAATACAACAACAAACACATCCCCGGCAGTCCATTTGTTGCTAAAATCACAGGTGAGCATCAATCCAGAAAAAATCTCAAGCTGTTGTGACCTGACATTTTTAATCTCTTTTTTTTTTTTTTTAAATGTGAAACTGGCATGCCATGTCAATATATAATTCTGTGCTAAAACTCTAAATGCTTTCTTCAGGTGACGACACCATGAGAATGTCCCAGCTAAAGGTTGGATCTGCAGCAGATATTCCTCTGAACATTACAGAAACTGACCTGAGCCAACTAACCGCAACAGTGACTTCTCCTTCTGGAAGGGAAGAGCCTTGCCTCCTTAAGAGACTCCGAAATGGACACATTGGTAAGACCTGTGTGCAAGCAGTAGGCCCCCTCTGAACGCTAAAAAAATCTTCAAAGGCCACTGAGTGACAAAGCAGCTTTGTGGCTTTATAGTTATTACATTCTCAATGCTAGTTAAATATAATGAAAGTTTATGGGATATATGTATAAACAGGTGGTGGTTGCTGTCATCTTGGTTTCTGATGTAACTGGATATAGATCTTTTCAGCCACTTCTGTGGTCAGAATATATAGAAGTGTAAACCATAATAGGCTTACCATCATTCTGTGGCTGACCGATCCAGGTATTTGGTGGTCAAACCTATATATAAATGAGATTTGCTCGGAAACACATTGATAAAATTTTTAAGTTACCTCCGTCCCATTCTTGGTTCATGAGTTCTCATTAATTTAGTCTCTGGCCCTTTAATCAGGGGATCAGTGTACTGCAACAGTAACAAATGTCTTGACATCTCGCATTGTGACCAAAACATCGACTTATGACCTGCACTTTCTACTTTGCAGGAATATCTTTCATTCCTAAAGAAACTGGCGAACACTTGGTCAACATAAAAAAGAATGGAGTACACATTGCAAGCAGCCCAATCACTGTAATGATCAGTCAGTCGGAGATTGGAGACGCCAGCCGGGTAATAGTGTCTGGCCAAGGTCTGGTTGAAGGGAGAACATTTGAGCCGTCTGAATTTATCATTGACTCCAGAGAAGCAGGTGAGTTGTCAAAGATGTGGCAACAAACTGTCCATGCAGAACTTATTTGGCACTTTTTAGATCAGTGAGGGCAGTTAGAGTGTACCTCACTCACAAGACTTTCTTGTACATGCACTCAAACATCGGCTTACATGATTGCTCGTTTCTCCTCTGCAGGCTATGGAGGGCTGAGTCTTTCCATTGAAGGTCCCAGCAAAGTGGATATTAACACAGAAGACTTGGAAGATGGAACATGCAAAGTGACTTACTGCCCAACAGAACCTGGAACGTACATCATAAACATCAAGTTTGCAGATCAGCACGTGCCAGGTACCTGCAGAAAAGACTAGGTTTCTACATACGACAGTCTGTAATATCTGTAAAGTATCTGCATTATAAATCTTCCCTTGTATAGCTTACTCATGGTGGAGTTTTTATCTTTCTAGGGAGTCCTTTCTCAGTCAAGGTCACAGGTGAAGGTCGCATGAAGGAGAGTATCACAAGGAGACGCACTGCCCCATCTGTGGCAAATATTGGTAGCCAATGTGATCTCAGCTTGAAAATACCTGGTAAGTTCCAAAGAACCTTTTTGGCCGTACAGTTAAGTAGAGCTGATGAAACAAAGTATTTCACAAAATACTCTGTCCCTGTGACTTAAACTAGTCGACCTGATATTAAGGAGGGTTTTTTGTTCCTTGCAGAAATCAGCATTCATGACATGACTGCACAGGTCACCAGCCCCTCTGGAAAGATTCATGATGCTGAAATCATGGAAAGTGACAATAACACCTACTGCATACGGTTTGTCCCAACTGAGATGGGTGTTCACACAGTCAGTGTTAAATACAAGGGTCAGCATGTACCTGGGAGTCCCTTCCAGTTTACCGTTGGACCCCTTGGTGAAGGTGGGGCTCACAAAGTGCGAGCAGGTGGTCCAGGCCTGGAGAGAGCAGAGGTTGGAACACCAGGTAAGACTTCCTTGCCAGAACTGGACTGGGATCTTATGTGGCAAATTGGTTTTTATTATTCTACTCTAAATTTTGTCCTGTGATCAAAAAGTATTGACCTCCTATCTTGGCAATTTTGAATCTCAAAATTGACTCCTAAGCCTCCCTTGTTCTTGCCTAACATTTATGGATTCAGTTACTTTTTTAACTAAGGAACAACTTAAAATATGCAGAATTTATTTCTTTCAAAAATGAAATGCCTACTGGACAAGCATCACACTTTAATGTAGAGCTCTGTATGGAACTTTACTGCTAGTTGCCATGTTGCTGTATGTTTCACTTTGGTCTAGGTTTTTGCTGGTCTAAAAAAATAAGCAATACTTTCTCCCACATCTGGGAGACTATTAAGAAAAAAACAAAACTGCATGACTGGTGGTGGTCTACTTTATGGCCATTTGCTTTAGAATGGGCTAAACCTCTAGAAGTTTACCCTTTCTTTTTATTTTATTAGCCGAATTTAGCATCTGGACAAGAGAAGCTGGTGCTGGTGGCCTCTCAATCTCAGTTGAAGGTCCAAGCAAAGCCGAAATTGCTTTTGAAGATCGGAAGGACGGGTCTTGTGGTGTGTCCTACATTGTTCAAGAGCCTGGTATGTTTGAAAGGTGGTTCTAATAAACCATGCCTTCATTGTGGTATTTGTCATGAAACTTTGAGTAGATGCATAGCGTAGTAGTGGGTAATTATGCATAACTCCATTCTTCTGTGGGTTCTGGTTGTGCCCCACCACTTATTGGCAGGGCTGTGAAGGATTTGGTGCATTTAGTCTTAAGTTACCATTAAATGTTCTGTTCTCTTCTAGGTGATTACGAGGTGTCCGTGAAGTTTAACGATGAGCACATACCAGATAGCCCTTTCGTGGTGCCTGTTGGATCCACGTCGGATGATGCCCGTAGATTGACTGTTTCTAGTCTTCAGGTGAGGCACTGGGAAAAACCTTGGCCCTTTGTGGTTGGGCAGAGAACTTTCCTCCTGAGCAGCTGACAAGAACCACTCATGACCCTCTCAGTATGGAAAATCTGCACTGCATGTCTTCTGCACTGACTGGGTCTAAACACTAGCTAAGAGCATAATTTGGGCACATTCCATCCTGCCACTGATTTCTTGCCAACATTGTTGGCAAACTCTTGAAGTGGTGTTTATAAATTGGTCATAGCTTTGCAGCCTTATCCATCAAGGAGACTGTGTGGTGCTGCCACCTGCAGGTATTAAAATGGAATTGCACCCAAAGAATACAACAAGGTACAAGGAACACTTGACACTATGTAATTTAGTGAGTCTAATCTCTAACTAAATCAATAAAGAATTGCTACATGCAATCTCTCCGAATAAGACATAGGCTCCTATCTTGGGACTGTTACACTCCTCACCATACAAAGACATCCCACTAGCAGGCTACACTTTTAAAGTAGATGATGGCAGATATTACTTGATCTCAAAGCCATTCTGGCTTTTAGGGGCATTGCCATAAACAGGGTGGTCCTAATCCTTCTGATCTTTAAGACCAGCCATATTCATGTTCTATTGATTCTCCAAACTAAGACCATCTTCCAGCTGACTCAGGAGGCTCTCGGTGTTTTTCTCGTGTCTTTCTTAAAGGCTTCTAACAGAAATGGACAATATATCTTGCTTCCACTTAACATTTGACTTCTGTTTAAAGAGGGAGGGGATGGGAAATCAACATATGGCTGTGGCTTGCTGCGATTTCAGGCTCCTTTTTATACCCACGAGTACGTGGATGGGTTTGAAGAGTGCCTGAATATATGGAGAAACTCAATCTAAACAATGTTAATGTGCTCAAAATGAACACCCTTATGAATTGTACAAATAAACTGCAACCTCTGCACACTTGGAATCCAGCTTTGTCAGGAACTTCTACAGCTCCTACTTGGCTAATGGTCAGCACTAGGCAATGAATTGACGTGTATTTTCAAGCCTTAGAATGGTCGGAATGAATGCACATCTCCATGGACGCCAGAAGCAAATGTAGACCTCTGCATAGTTTTTTGCTGTGAAAACCAGAAAATCACAAGGATACCTGACTGCTTACCACAGTGTATATAGTGGTGTCAAACCCAGGACATCTTAACTTATAGGCATGCACTCTTGGGCCAAGATGCTACCATGTGAGGCAGCAGGGTATTTCCACACTCCTGCTTTTCCAGAGTACACAGTTAGAAATATCATGAAGTGTGCACAAATAAATACAAACTCCTGGCAGATAACATTAGCTCTAGAACAAAATGCTTGTCTTGGTCTTATTTAGGCCTCTAGAATAGTATAGATGGTCTTCTTTTTAGATGTGTAGTGTAGCACTCTTGAACAAAGTCCATTGAATCTCCCAATTGTGTGGGTCTTTGTTTTTATAGCTTTTAAAAATAATAAATAAAATATTTGTACTAGGTTACATTAATACAACGGTTGAACTAGTGATCAGTTCTGTAACAAAGCTCATAAGAACATTTTAGTTCAAATTGCTCATTTACCTTCCATAACCCAAGCAGCCAGCCACTGCCATGTTGTCCCACTAGTGTTTCCCTCCCTCATTAAATGAAGCTCCAGACTGGTAAGTAGAAAGTTCATGAGGGCCTTAAACTTGCCCTGTGTATTCAGTTTGACTGTTTCTAAAATTCTTGATGTACTTTTAGGAGTCAGGGTTAAAGGTGAACCAACCAGCCTCTTTTGCAGTAAGTCTTAATGGTGCTAAAGGAGTCCTGGATGCCAAAGTGCACAGTCCTTCTGGGGCAATAGAAGAATGCTATGTGACAGAGATTGATGAAGGTAAGACCACTTTTAGTCTGTACCTACAAGTCCTTGATAAGGGCATATAAAAACCAACTTGTCCATATACTCGTAGAGCAGAAACACTTTATTTCTAGTCTAGGTTTGCTTTTATTTAGGTTATTTTATTTATTTTTTAAGGAAAACCTGCCTAAACCTTGCGATGAGCAGATCTTGTTTGCTTTTGGTGGATAACTGAGTGGAATCTTCACCTCCTGACTCACTTTTTCAGATTTACCAGATAACTGGCTTCCTGAAGCCACAAACTAATGGCTCCAATCTTACATGTGGCCTCTTGTAGGCAGCACAGCTGCCAAAAAATTTTTATCCCTAAAAATAAGTAAACCAATATAAAGAGGTTTGTGGAGAATTCCGTTATGGCACTTCTAATGTAATCCATCCCATATGATTCAGGTTTAAAATCCATATCCCTGAGAGCCATTTTGGATCTTGCCCTTCCTCACCACCTGTATTTTGGTTGGTGGCAGATACACTAGATTTTATTTCATTCTTTCCTTCTAAAACTAAGGCAAACCAGGTGTGGCCATAACAAACATTCCTACTAAAATGCAGGCATAAATTTGGTGTTTTAAAAAGGAAACTCGTTGGCTCCATATAACTTTCTACCGAGTGTTACAATTGGTTCTTCCATTTTTTTATTTTTTTTTTGTGACACTCATATTAATGGAGAATTCCAAGCAGAGAATCTGTTATGAACCTCTTCTCTTTTTCTGATTTTAGACAAATATGCTGTACGCTTTATTCCCCGTGAGAATGGCTTGTACCTTGTTGATGTCAAGTTCAATGGCTCCCACATCCCTGGTAGTCCCTTCAAAATAAGAGTTGGGGACCCAGGACAGGCTGGGGATCCTGGCATGGTGTCAGCTTACGGGTCAGGCTTGGAAGGAGGAACTACAGGTAAGCTTGACTCGTTGATGTACACTTGCTCTAAGGGAATAACTAGCCTGACTTAAAATATAGATGACAATAGGGGGAAAATACGCTCGCGTTACATGCTGGTGAAGTCTAAAGCATAACGTGAGGCTTGATGAGTGGACAGTAAAGGACTCACTTATTTTTTTTTTTTTTTTTTTTTCTCCAGGCAATGCTGCAGAGTTCATAGTTAACACATCGAAGGCTGGGCCTGGCGCTCTTACTGTCACAATTGATGGCCCTTCAAAAGTCAAAATGGACTGCCAGGAGTGTGCAGAGGGTTACAAGGTTACCTACACACCCATGGCTCCTGGTAGCTACATGATCTCCATTAAATTTGGTGGTCCATATCACATTGTCGGAAGTCCATTTAAAGCAAAAGTCACTGGTGAGTAATGCTATGGTTTCAGGAATGGTACAGAAGAACAAGCTTATTGTTTCACTTTGAAAACATGGGAGCTTTTAGCAATGTTCATTCAGAAGTCTTTTAAGAGTTGTGCTCTTTAATTCTATGGGAGATGCAACGGCCAAAACCCTTACTGTGTTTTTCTCCTCTCCCCAGGTCCTCGTCTGGTGACAAGCCATAACCTTAACGAATCCTCATCAGTGTTTGTAGACTCTGTCACAAAATCAGAGTCTTTCACACAACAAGCTGCAGCTCCAAGAGTCTCATCTGATGCTACCAAAGTGGTGGCCAAAGGTCTAGGTCTAAACAAAGCCTTTGTAGGACAGAAGAACTCCTTCACAGTCGACTGCAGCAAGGCTGGTGAGTATCTAACTGAAGTTTATGAATACTGGCCAGAAACTTGAAAGTCTGAAACTGTTGAAATAAAGTATTCTATTCACTTTGGATGTTAATGGGTAGAGATCTACTGGCATTCCTACAAAGTTCCACTTAAATCCTTAATGTATTCTTGGTTCCTGTATGAACTGTAGTTTAATGTTAAATCTGTAAACTTTGGTACATTTGAGCAAAATAATTCTTCAAATACTTAGACTTCATTTTTCCTCCTAATTTTTTTCCATATTCAGGTAACAATATGCTGCTTGTTGGAGTGCATGGTCCAAAAACTCCATGTGAAGAGATTGTGGTGAAACATCTTGGAAACCGTCTATACAATGTTACATATCTTCTGAAAGACAAGGGGGAATACATCCTGGTTGTCAAGTGGGGAGATGAGCACATTCCAGGCAGCCCTTATCACGTGTCTGTTCCCTAAATCCGTGGCCATTCTCCTTTTTCCCAATCCCAAACCCCTTATCCTCAGTGTGTGCTCTGTGTCTATGTACAGCTGCCCTGCTCAACTGTTCCCATGTGACTGAGGGGGTTACAGGTCGGCTCGGGTTTGGTGGTCTTGCTTAGCTGGTTTCCTGGTTTATGCAAAGGCCGTGTTAACCCCAGTGGCACTGAAGGGGCAAAGTGTGAACGGGTGCAGTAGGTTGTTGAGAGGGGAGCAGGATGGTCCGATACTCTGAAGAGCAGCTTTATGAACTTGGCACTTTTTATAATGTAAAGACCGCTGCTAGTATCAGATGTGTCCAGCTCATCCCCTGCCCTCATAGGGCTGCTTTAAATGCCACATGCTCCCGTTGTGCTGTTCTGCCCTTTGCATTTGTTTACATTTTGTATGTTCTTACCCTAGACTGTAGGGGATAAGGGTCTCCAAATTGATAGCAACTTATTTCTAGGTGCCAAGAGTGAAGGCATGAGGTTTAAAAAAATGTTTTAAGGACGGTTTACAAAGCTAAACTCCCCACATTCGTGTAGACTGTTCATGTTCTTGGTTACCTGCAAGACCTCAAGTTTAAATTTTTATTAAAACTGCATTTTCTAGTTCACATGTCTTAAGATGAAACCATAAAATAGTCATCTGAGACTTGTGATCTTTCAAAAAGTCAAAGCATGAAAAGGCTTTCCTTTTCACTAAACCACTACTTGTTAAAACTCAAATTGATAAAGAAGAGATGCACCAAATATTTACTTTGGTCAATAACTTTTGGTCCACTCTAATGTCATGTTCTGTCTTGGTGTCTTCACGTATTCTCCCCTTTCTTCCTGTCCATTATAAAATTGTCTGTTTTAATGTTTGTCCTGAGATCTGGTTTAGCTCTGAGATGCTTCGTTGGGGTGCTTATTAGGTTTACCTACCACAGGCCATTCCAAGCGTATCGCTTCCAGTTAACCAAATCTTTGTCTTAAAATTTTTCTAAATTTATGATTTATTTTTGTTGTGCACGACTACAGTACTTGGCTCTTAAATGATAACAATAAAATTCAGCTTTTAATCCTCTAGCTGATTCACCTGGTTTTTATTACAAGTTGTCTTGAGGTTTTCAATGAAATGGAATTTTTGAAGTATGTATAGAACTTCACTTTAAAAAAAATTTCAACAAAAAAGCTTTTTAGCTGAGAAGGTTAACAGATGGGTACATACTAGCTGTGGTGGCTTTCAGTCTGCCCCAGCTAAGGATGGTACTTGCACAGGTATATTGGCAGGGCTGGGAGCAGTGGCACTGCCATGGGTACATTGACCCTCTGACAGTGTCACATCTATCCGCAAATGGGGTAAAACCAATAACCAAATATGATCTAAAGGAGAAATCGCCAGGTGGTGCAGAGCACTATTTTTTTTAAAACTTGCTCTATAACTGAATCCACTACCTTGAGGTGCATACTGACTGGAGTACAGTTGTATATGTTGATCAGTTTTTCTAAAGAGACTTGACTAGCTAATTTACTTGATCCCAAAGGCCAGCAAAACTAACAGATCTATAGGTAATGCCTCCATTATCCGAGTAGATGCAGAGGAGCCAGGGGCTAGTGAGAGATTTTATCAAATGTTAAATATAGGACATCCTCCCTACAGCTCACTGTGTATGGTATAATTTTCAATTTATTGTGTACATATTTTTGTAGTTCTATACCCTTTTGGCAATCTTGGATTGACAATCAAATAATACAACTATACAAGGTACCACTGGGTGACACTGTAGGTTAAATTACAAAAGCAAATATTTTGAATTTAGTTAAATGCATGTCTTTCAAAAATCTCACTGCCTACTGCACATCTTTGCCAATCGTGTACTTCCTTGCTGGGCAGGGACCATTGTGGACATAGGCAGAAAAGTGGCTATACACCTGAAGGCTAAAAAAATATTTACCTTCTTAAATACTGGATAACTTGCTAATTCTATGGAAACTATATTAAAATGTGGGGTCTCAATGGCTGTCTTCTTTGTGTCAAGAGGCTGTGACAAAGGATTAGTCTAGGGCTAAACTGAATAAGCAAACCGTGAACGGAGGGGCATAACCTATACACTATAAAAGCACTTTTATTAAGCAAAATGTGGATTAGTTAGCAGGAGTTTTATGAAGATTAAAGGGATCATTGTAGCCCTTCAGTCTGACTTATTCACTGTGGCCTGTAATAAGCTTACAAAGTCTCATTTATTTGGCATGTGAGTCTTTGCCAATGGGTAGACTCTTCTTTAAAGGGACACTATATAGTCACCAGAACTACAGCTTATTGAATTTGTTCTGGTGAGTAGAATCATTCCCTTCAGGCTTTTTGCTGTAAACACTGTCTTTTCAGAGAAAATGCAGTGTTTACATTACAGCCTAGTGATACCTTCACTGGCCACTCCTCAGATAGCTGTTAGAGATCCTTCCTGGGTCATGGCTGCCTAAAATGTATCCAAACATTCAGTATCTCCTCCCTCTGCATGCAGACACTGAACTTTCCTCATAGAGATGAATTGAATCAATGAATCTCTATGAGGAGATGCTGATTGGCCAGAGCTGTGTTTGAATTGTGCTGGCTCTGCCTCTTTGTCAGTCTCCGCCAATCCTATGGAGAAGCATTGTGATTGGATCAGGCCACCACTTCTGATGTCAGACAGCTTGTTTTTCTGAGGCAAACAGCATGCAGAGCTACAGCTTAAGGCTTGACTACAAGACGATCTTGCTATATTTATGAAGGCAGAAGGGGCTAGATGGTGTTAACACTATAGGGTCAGGAATACATGTGTGTGGGTGTGTTTTCCTGCCCCTATAGTGTTACTTAAACTTTAGCTTAGAATTTTCTGTTCTGACTGAATGTAAGAATACATTTTTTTTTTTCAGAACAATGGATGAAGTCTTCAAATAGACAGGCTTCCTACTATGTCCTAGCCACCATGGGTTTTAACAATTGCAATTACTAAAATTGCCTCTATAAAGTTAATTAACAGTCTTTAGCTTGCCACCTTTCACATTCCATCTGGCCTGAGAGTTCTGGAGTAACATATTAACAAGACTTTGTAGCCATATACTTTGGTAACTTATCCTGAAGACAATCACTAGTAAAATTGTAATTTTTTTTTAAATCTCTATAATGAACCTGCACGCACGATACATTGATATAAAATAAAGCGTTCTTCCACCACCATAACCACTTCAGTGACTGTGATCAAGACGTCTGGAGTCTGTATGTGCAGTGTTTCACTTTGAAATGCTGCACGTACAGAGATTAACTCTGCTGCTGGAGATGCAACTCCACTTCTGGCAGAGTCAGTGGTGGGTGTCGTTATCTTAATGTCAACTCTGAATATTTCTATGCAAACACTCAGCTGATACTGTTTAGAAGGAGTGGCAGAATCTGTAAAGCTGGGTGTCTTGAACACCACAGGAGACCTGTTGGGGCCCAGGTAAGAGGACAACCTGTTTTAAAGTAGCCTGGCCCCATAAACAGAGAACATGGCCAGGGTAATCAAACCACTATAGTGACTCCTTTAAAGGGGAACTATAGAGCCAGGAAAACTAGTTTTCCTGCCACTAGCTTTCTCCTCCGTCAAGACCCCCTCGGCACTGGCTTTGATCAGTCTTCTCCTCCCCTGCCGCAGTCTGTAGACTGGGGAGACCTAATGTGCGGCAATGACTGCGCTCGCATTGGGATTTTCCCACATAGGAAAGCATTCAATTTCTTATTGAGATTCTGGTGACTCTAGAAGTCATCGAGCATCAATTAGGTTACCAGAAGTCCCTCTAGTGGCTGTCTAAAAACAAAAGCAATCCTTACCTGCTAGGGTTAACGCCTCTCTAGTGGCTGTCTACCAAACTGCAATAATTACATGTAAAGGGTGATGGTCTACACCCAGACCAGTTCAAGGAGCTGAAGTGGCTAGGGTGCCTATAGCATCCCTTTAATGTCTCAAAATCCCTTACTCCCATCATACATGGTTTCTACATTTTAACTTTCTTGCACTTTAAAAAAAAAAAAAACAACCCAAATTTTAAAAAAATTGCACCCTAATCTTAGATTGAAATGGGCTCTTAAGTCTTAATTTCATTATGCAAACATCTATTAAAGTCCATAACTAATTCACAAATGGGTTGTTTTACTTTCAGCACTGCTGATGGTCTGGCTCCCTTTAAGAAATACCAGGTTGTTTGGCTACTGGCAGCACAAGCAGCCTTTTTTAGATCATCCAATATGCATAATCTTAGATATAAACGAGGAAAGCACAGTTTGAAAAAGGTGAATACAATGTACATTATTCCATATCGCTATAGAGCTGTAATCCCGACCTTAATGAAAAAGTATCGGGTCTATGCAACCAATACCAATTGATCTTTTACTAAAGGGATGCTCTAGGATTGAAATAATGCTGGTTTTAATGCAAACAAATGTGTTTTAATTTTTAAATCCCTTTCAGAGGGACACTCCAGTGTTCAAATACAAAAGAAAATCACTGTCTAGTAAATATGCTCCAAATGAAAATGTGTATTTAATTATGCATTTCCCCCGCACCCCCTCCCAGTGGGTGTAGATCTAAAAACAGATTGTGAAAGCTGCAGTTCTTGTCTATAGCCTTTACAAGCCCTCCCCTTCTATCCCTGCCCAGACTTTCCATGGCTGTCCAATCAGACTTGGGTCAAGTCTTTGCAAGGCAGGTGCACTGGGCAATTGCCTCTTAAGTTTAGCCTCACTGAGCTAAGTAACCAGGAAGTAACATTACCTGTTTGCTTGAAAGCAGGTGGGTGTAACCAGATTAATTCATAAAATTATCAGTTTCTATTTAAATCTCCACTTCTTACAAAATCGGGGGGAGGGGGAAGAGAACACTTTTCACACAGGGGTTTTCAGCAAGCTAAAGTGCTTTAGGGGTATGGACTGTCCCTTTTAAGTTACCTGATCCACAGGTAAACTGCAGCCAGCTCTCTTCTAACCCATGAGAAAAG